GATAAGTGGGAATTTGGATGAAATTGAATTTAGTTCAACTATAAATCATTAAAACAAAAGAAAGAAGTTGAAATTGAAAACTGAAATGACTAAATTAACCATTTATTAAACTGCTATTCATTTTCTATGGCATTTCAATAAAGCGTTATCGATATATACATATGGGTGGATGAAGCAGATAAGAGACTGATCAATCGCAGTCCTAAATAACAATGGGAAGATACAAATAAACAACACTTAGGGAATTTAAAACTTCACCCCATTGCACAAGCAGGTGGCTATCAGGACCCAGTAACTAAGTGGATAACACAACGGTGTTTGAAGCGAATGGTACTGGGTTCAAGTCTCGGAGTGAACATCAACTCTGGGATGCAGGCACATCCAGCTGACGAGTCCCAAGTAGGATGAAAGGTACGTCCTGGATTCCACTGCTAGCCACTATCCAACTTTGCTTGAAAAGCTTGTGACTTAAGGCTATATCGAGGTAATCCGCACAGGATGCACATATGCCAACAAGAGACCGATCAATTGCAGTCCTAAACAGCAGTAGGAAGATACAAGTAAACAACACCAAGTGAATTTAAGATGAACGGTTTACATATGATTCCTGTAATGAAAAAAAATGATAAGATGGGTTGAGTAACAAATGAACAGGTTCTGAAAAGTTTGAATAAGCGAAGAGAATTGAATGAATGAAGGAGTGGTTTTAGTGTAGAGAAAATAAGAGTTCGGTAAGCGAAGACCACATAACAATACAAACACTAACAAAATAAAGATGATGACAAAAATGATCCACCAGTGTATTGATAAGTTTATGACCGTCCCTTTTTGGATACATAAATCAGGTTTGAGTGTTTTTATCGCTACTGCTTCAGCAAACGATTACTGGTTTAAGTCATCCTACATCTTAGTTCACTTTTAATTCCATATTAAATGATTGAAGCGGAGTAAGCAGAAACCTTTAGACTTGGGGTTTACGTTGGTTACTACAAACCAATTGTCTTGCTTACTCGCCTCAAGCATTTTTTAACTTAAATGAAGTACTCATTTTTCAAACTGCTTATAGTAGGACTTGCATTAAAGATGATTCATTCATTACATTCCATAACTGAACACTTTATATTTCCATCACTTACTTACTTACGCCTGTTACTCACAATGGAGCATAGGACGCCGAACAGCATCCTACAACCCACTCTGTCCTCCGCCTTCTTTTCTAATTCCATTCAATTCTTGTTCATTTTTCTCATGTCTGTCTCAATTTCTCGGCGTAATGTGTTCTTTGGTCTTCCTCGTTTCCTTTGGCCCTGAGGATTCCACGTGATTGCTTGTCTTCTGACATAGTTGGGTGCTTTCCTCAATGTGTGTCCTATCCACTTCCAGCACTTCTTCCTGATTTCTTCCTCCGCTGGGATCTGGTTTGTTCTTTCCCACAGTTGGTTGTTGCTGATAGTGTCTGAACAATGGATCCGAAGTATTTTTCGTAGACAACTGTTAATAAACACCTGTATTTTCTGGATGATGGCTTTCGTAGGTCTGCAGATTTCCGCCCCAGTAGACAGTAGAACTGTCTTGACATTTGTATTGAAAATCCTGACCTTGGTGTTGGTTGACAGTTGTTTTGGGTTTCAGATGTTCTTCAATTGTAAATATGCTGCTCTTGCTTTACCAATCCGATCTTTCACATCAACATCTCAATAATTTATTTCGAAAAATCTTTCAGGCACAAATTTGATTACTGTACACAAGAATTTGCATAAAATCAAATTTTCTGGTCAAATTCACCGAAATATTGTTTAGGTTTCTCATTCTACTCTATTTAATTATTGGTTCACTTAAATTAGCATTAGTTGTCAAATTTAACCTAACTTTGCTATGTATCAACACATTACAATAATCAATGATGTAAACTCGTAATGTGAGTATTGTGTTTTCTGTTTGGTGTATATCACCGGGACATAGACTACTTTTAGTCACAGCAAATTTGTTACTGTGGTTTGTAGTGGAATTTATTGGACGTATTTCGGTCTGTTTGAGATCCCAAAGTTGTATATACTTGGATCACAGTTGTGATATTTACATCGGGACTCGAACTATGCACCTATCACTTCGAATGCCAACAATAATATCCACTGATCTGCTAAATCATTAACTTTTTCACCGGATATTCTTATTTATAGTTGTTAAGATTTCGCAGTTGTCGATATTCAAAACTGAATAGAGACTGACTAAAACTCACTTGTAAAAACCAACAACTGGAAATTACAATTACTTGTGAACACATTAAAACTGTTCTGAATATTTGACAGTGATTAAATCAACTTTACTGGATTTTTATTAACTGACTAGAGATTCTTTTGCTTTTACTACTTGTTCAATTAAAATTTTTGTTGTTAAGTTTCTAAAACCTAGACATTTTCAACTGGATGAGCACTCTGTGGAATTGTGTTATAATTTAACATATGTCATCTTAGGGATAAATCACTGGTTGTATGATTTCCTAAAAGATATTCAACTGTCTCCACTGCGTTGAACAATTATCAGTGACTCCTGTCACACATTTATTTGACATCTCTTAACTTTCACCTTGAAGCATAACTTGTGATTCAATCATCTCAGTCGTTACATGGTCAAGAATACGCAAAGTGACCTGTTTTATTCTTGATTATACTTTTAAACTCAGCACTCACACTGCTGTTCTGATGTCATTTACAGAAACTATGCAAACATCCATAAACTACTTATGTCCACAAGTTTCAAAAACTAAAGTGAACAGCTGTGGACCACTGGTTTGCATGCTCTCATGTTTTTATCGTAAATCTTACTATCATCTTAGATATTATACATAGGTGTAATCCACAACAGTGATTATTCTTTTATCATTAACAAAAAGGCTTATGGAATTTGTCAAATATATGGAGTGACGTACTAGTTCAGTTGACTCAACTTTTTCAAAATATGGATAATCCAAACGTATTGTCACATAAATGTTAAGTGTCGATAAAATATTAACGACAGTTTGTTTGAAAGAAGCTTCATTTTAGTCAGCAAAAAATTTTTTTCGAACAGAACTGCGCTGTTTCTATCCACATGGTCAATCACAAGAAACTTAATCGGGAGAACGAACTAAGGAGATCAGAGGTTAAACAGTATCGTGGTTATCAGTACACACATGATCATACCAGATATCATTATCAGAGGTCATTTAATGTGACCACAATTTCTATCAAAATATTTTCTTATGAGAAAATCTTTTCAATCATTTGGAAATAAATGAACTTTCAGAAAGGGAGTTTAATTGGAAGCATGTGATATCTTATGAAATACAATACATGGTAATAAGGCATTCCGTAGAAAGATATATGGTTGAATAAAATCTTGTAAACCAATCATGATTATTGAAAAATACAATAATAAATCAATAAACAGAGCAAAGATAATAATCATCATTGATGAACATAGTCAATGATAAATTGATTAACAAGATAAATACCATAGCACATGTTTCATTTGAGAGATTTTTAGTTTCATTGAATTGTATTCTAAACAATGTCAAACTTATTGATTTACAAAATAACAACATGATTGGTTTATCTAATTAAATTCACATTTTGAGATGGTGGAGAAGATTTGTAGCTCAGATGGATGAGTTGGGTGAAGTTTTGTTCTTTGAGCTGGATTGTTGGGTTGTGTTTCACTAGCTTGTTTAAAATCTTTGAGATTTGGTTGTCTAATTTTTTGACGGGATTTGTATCCATCAGTTTGTATGTGCTCTTATCTTTAAGTAGTTCTTCAGCTTTTTCGACGTATTCTTCTTTGTTCATGACTACTGTGGTGCGTCCTGGCATTATGACAATATCCTTTCTATTTTTGAGTTCCTTCAAAGCCATTTGTTCTTGTGGAGTCAGTCGGTTGTTTTCCTTCACCTGTTGAGTTAGCGGTACTATAGTTTGTTTTATTTCCTGTTGTGTTTCTTCACTGATTCCGGAAGTTTTGAGTGATGACTCTAGTGCTGCAAAGAATTCCAGTTTTGTGGCGTCGCTTGTATTGTAGTTTAATCTTTTTTGGAGTAGGTGTTCTTCCGTATTTGTTAGTGGTTGTTTTGACAGATTGATCACGCAGTTGTTTGTGTTTTCCTCCATGGGTGATTTTGAGATCTTGATTAGTTTTTTCTTTAGCTCAGAGAACAAAACTCCACCTAAATCCACATTTTTAAAATGAATATTTGAATATAAAGAATTTCTTTGAAAGGATCATTATTTTCAGCTACTTGTTCTTGAAGTCCCATAGTTAAAAAGTCATAAATATTGTACTTCAAACCGGTTAGTGTTACTCAAACACAATGGAAAATTTTCCAAATGGCTCTCACTTGATTACCTGTAAAGTATGTGAATGACAATCATTAAAAGTAAATTAAAGAATGAATGTGTTAAGAGATTATAAATTAGGGATTCAATTCATTAGATGTTTCAAAACTTTGACAAATCTTTACGTATCTGTGTCTGTTAGGTTAGTTAAGCTTGGATGATACTACTGATTCGGCTTATTCGGAACGGAATGAAGGCTGAGAATTCAGAGACTCAATAGGCTATTCTGGTCTGTTGTCCCCAACTCAGCTAACTCGGTCAAGAAGTCTTGGTAAGGCGTAGAAAGTATATTCTACAGGCAACCAGCAGAGTGTCACAAAAGAATAAGATAATCCATTATTCAGTCAAGAATTAACATTATGATGATGACAATAATAATAATGAGTTCAAATGAGTTGTGAACTATGGGTACTTTTAGTTACCTTAAAACTATCCAAAACGATATGACCTGTTTGTCATGATTTTTATATCTGAAGTAGTTTAATCAATAGTTTTATAATTTCTGATTTAAATTTGTGGTGACTATCTCGGTAACCACTACAATTTATAAAACTTGAGTATTATTTTAAAAAGGATATGTGTTTACACTTTGACGATTTCGCTTATTTTCGTTTTTGATATTTTGTTTTTCAGTTGTTCCCTGACTCAGGAGCTATGGGACGTTTATCTGATTATAAGGTGAGTTATTGTTAAACGATGAAACAAAATAAAACTAATCCACTTGATATTGTTTGGCTTGTATTTTCCATTGAGGTTTAAGACTGCAATTGATCAGTCTGTTATTGGAAATATGTGCAAACTGTGTGTATGCAAGTTGGCTATCAGGACTCAGTAGCTGAGCGGCTAACGTGATGGCGTTTGAAGCGAATGGTACTGGGTTCGAGTTTCAGAGTGAACATCAACTCTGAGATGCAGGTACACCCAGCTGACGAGTCCCAAATAGGACGAAACGTGCGTCCTGGATTCCACTGCTAGCGACTATCCATCATTGCTTAAAAATAAAACGAAGTTCTACTTCTAATTTGTACCACATATTTGCTAATACTAATCGACTATAGAATACGAAGAATAATGATGAGCAGTATTTGTTTAAATCCAGTGTAAATCTGATACAATCTGTATGACACTTCAAAAATTAGAGTTATTACCATTGAGTTATTTGAAACATGGCCAACCTCTCATAGGATGTTTTAATTTGTAAACTTAAACAAGACAAGAATAATAGTATGTACACGATGTGATAAATTCATTATACCACATTGTTGTCTGATAAACTGATTACAAGATAACTATAATGTAAATAAATTTCATCAGAAAAGAATGATAATGTTTATCTAGCACTATGAATGCACTTATTTTATCCTGCTCATATTTAGTAAGGAGAGTGTAGTCGCCATACTACATTGTTCACTGAGGAAGTATAGTACGTCATATGAATGTGCTTTAAAATATATGCATATAAATATCTTCAGGGCTGGTGGAGAGAATCTGTAGCACAGAAACTGCTGACATATGAATAAAATGATAATTAAAGATCTAAAACTACATTTTACAATGTATAGCACATAACACCTTCAAAAACCAATTCGTCCGGTCCTAAAGCTTTAAAGATTTCGTGATAGGTTTTAAGCTCCATAACATTCGAACTATCTGGTGATGATATGTTCTCTGAGCCGGATGGTTTAATTAAAGAGCTTTCACCGTTATTCTGAAAAACATCTTCGCAGTCCCATTCATGCAGAAGTGGATTTGCTAGGTATTAAACAAACGTTATGTTAGTTGTTTCGGACGGTCTTGTTTCCGAATAGCTGTCTTTGTATATTTTGTGGTTTACCTCAGCCCTTCAAATATATGCCGTACTATCCAATAATTTGAAAACCTCTTATTATGCAATACTGATGGTTTTTGACGAATATTATTTCAGTGTCTATTTCTACAGTCGTTGACACACTTCCTATTAAGAATCATTTGTTCAAGCCTTTACTACTCTTATCATAACTAGAACACCGGTTATCATACTATCAATTTGAAGCTTTCACTTATTGTTTATTTATGTAATTTATTCCATTGTTATCACTGACTTATGAGCAACTTTAATTGATTGAGTATTTTCATTTATGTATATACATATTACTGCATATTAGAGTAGAGACTGATGAGGATCTGGTTAAAAACATAGTTGTATATACTTTGTTTTCATTTGTCCTTGTACTCACGATGAATGTCTTTGTCTGGTGACCTCTGGCCATATGACTGATTCACTGCTTCCAAATGGGTTTATAGTTTGGGTCATCGTTGATGTGCTTGTTTATTTCTAATTGGTGTGAGTGCCTTTCTCCTATAAATTCTCTCGGACTCTGAGAATCTTCTTGTTGTGGATGCGGAGGAATAGACCAATAATTATCATGTTAAGTCCAATGGTGTCCTTGGACTTTAAATGGACATTTTCTATTGGTCGATATCTGTTTCACTTGTTGAATATTGTACAAAATGTTGTTTTCTATTTTATGGTACGATGTGGTGTGCTTGATTGGTATATAAACAAAGTATGTTTGAAATATAATGATTCATATCTCCGAGGCTGTGACTTGTGTTCTGGACTCAACTGACTGGGCTAGACAGGGAAGCGAGACCAATCGAGACTCTAGGCCGTCCGTTCGTGTATACGTGTCACTGTAATCGATCGCAACCTAAAGCCATAACACTTTATTCAGAATCCCACTGTATTTCCAATCGAACTTACGTTCATAGTTGTCTGCATTCATGAATATACCATATTATATCGCTTCACTGGTAATCTATATCCGTGTGTGCGTAGGTGAGAAGGTCTCTAATTTTTCCTGTGTAACATTCCTCGCAGCTGATGCAACGTATTATGTAGATGATGTTAGATCTGTCTTCGTTTGCTGTTGCATCTTTTCATTTCTATTGAATGCAATGGTGTGGTTGTATTGGTTTGTAAGAGACGCCGATTCTAAATGGCATCAAGATCCTTGTATTTTGCTTTTTGAGGTGTTTTCACGTGGGATAGGATGATTTGTTCCTTAGTTTCTAGAGTTACCTTTCTAATAATATGTTTATTCACTGAACATCTCTTGATGAATTTGTCAGGATAACCGTTCTTACGTGAGATAAACTGAAAACCCATTTCTTCAATTTTCCATGTGATGATTGTATTACAGTGGCTTTTGGCTATTGTGGGTAATTTCTGAGGGCAAGTCTTTTTATTATTCTGAGTTGTTACTACTGTAGTTAAATATTTTATTCATGTGATGCGGTTTCTTGTTTACTCATATTTTAAAGTTGTCAATCAACGTTTGAGTGTTTTTGAGTTCATCTCACTTCAAGATAACGAATGTGTCATTTACATAACGTATCCAAATCTTTGACTATTGATAGAGCCGTAGCCTTTAGCCTTCGCATTACAGCTTCTTTGACTAATCCTGATATGAGGGATCACATTGAGGTTCTGTCAGTCTCTTTATAAATCTAACTGTTGAGTTGTATATATATCGACTTTTCCTGATTTTAAACTAGTTAGTTTATATGAAATACTACCTTGAATTCTAACTATAATTTGTTCTAGTTGATGAAACCGACAAGACATATTCACTAGATATATGCAACTAACAAATAAATAATATAGAAGCAACTGATAGGTCTTCATAAACATCAAGGTATTATGTCATAAATAACTCGTGAAACATGCATTCATCAATAATCGCATAAATTTTGCACAAGATATACATTTGGATGTTAATGCAATTTACAGTTCGCTGTATAAAACCTCAGGGTGAGACTATAATATATGGAAGACCATTGAGCAACGCTAAAGTGACCTTGAGAGTGTATATCTACTCACTAAAGTTTTAAAGCAGTTTTAAGAATAAGGATTATGATTTATGGTTGATGGTTAGGGTTAGGAATTAGATTTAGGGTTTTCATCACGAACTGACATCAACTATAATGCCAAGACTCTATTTAACCCAATGGGTGAAGGAATTCCACTCTAAAATCTACGACCTGTTATTATAAATCTGATTGTCTCATCCATATATTATAGTCTCGTCAACCTCAGATTACGTAGAGTTTTAAAATGGATATAGGAGAAACCGACTAAGTTGTGAATCTTTTGAAGTATACTTCTATGCTGGGTCTTAAATCTATCTCTGTGTTTGTGCAGAGTTACTATTGCTTTATTATATAATAATGTATAAACTTACCATTCGTTCATCAGTACAAAGATATACACTAATTATCATCACAATTAATTTATCACTGGGTGGTGATCAATGTCATGCTTGTCAAGTCCTTATTTAGTCCAGATAGCTCAGTGGTAACGTCTCTGACTGTGAAGCTGGGTGAAGCCGGGCTCGAATCCTCCAGGGAGCACCAGTTCCTTCAAAGATTACAGGTACACCTTGCTGACAAGTGCCAAATAGTACAAAACCCGGGTCCAGGGTCTCCTGTCGACTACCTCCAACCACTATGTAAACCAATTATCATATTTTACAAAAAAATTTCATCCATTCACCATTTGGTTTGACATTCAAAAATGAATAAAAAGAGAAACATTTAAACTTAATTTATTGTAACGTACAAAGTTCAAACTAAGGACATTAGTTACACAGATTTGTTTTAAATAAAAAAAGCAGTATATAAAACTAACATGCATTTCTCAACTGATCTATCCGCATGATAACATCATTTCAATCATTTTTACTCCCACAATAATCATATTCACTCATTCATTCATTCATTCCATATAGCCATGGATACTGTTTTCTTACTGATTTATCTCAATATAAAATACAAGTCAACATGAATTATATTTAGTTAATTCAATTAGTACAATTACAATTTAATTCAATAAATGAGTGAATTTCTGTCATTCAATAGCATATACTAGTTTACACAATTGGTTTACTTGACTGAATTTCCACATTGGCACAAAACAATTTAATTTAAATCATGTAAAAGATGAATGTCATTTCCATCTATTTTGTTGATCTAATTGTTTTGTTCAAATGTATATCATCAGAATATTTTATCGAAGTTAGAGGGATGTTGCCAAGTCAAACTTTCTAATCAATAAAAAGATAAATTGATTGAATTCCTTGTTTGAATGAGATAAATTTATCGTTTTGACTTAATTAGACTAATGGTCAACAAGTTCAATATTGTTGAAGAAGTAAGAACCAAGATTTCAACAGAATAATATATTTTCAGTGGTTAAGATCATCAGTCAGTTGATGCTAAAGCACCATGGAAAACCTGGAAGCACTGGACGGCCGTTTCGTCATATTGTGGGACTCCTCAGCAGTGCGCATCCACGACCTCGCCCCCTGCGAGATTCGAACCCAGGTCATACTGGTTTCGCGCGCGAGCACTTAACCAACTAGACCACTGAGTCGGCCGACATCCAACGGTGTTAATGTCTAACTTCAACTAATCCATCAAATTGAGCGACACAATAGGACGAAACGGCTGTCCACTGCTTCCAGGTTTAAAAAGGCGTTGGTCTAACACCAATCGATTCATGATCTCAATCAAAAACAATAATTCACGTGCATAGTATCGATTTATGATGAATTCAATGTGACCGGATTGATTATAAACTGATTGCTAATAGGGGTATATATATTAACCGTACTGAAATAACTCAATGTTCTTTTCTAGATGTATGAGACAACGTTCCCCGAATTTATTGTCACAGTTTCTGTTTCGCCTATAGGACAAAACTCTATACTTTATGATTCATGTTTTAGAAAATAACGTCAAGCTGGAAATGTTACACCCCCCAAGCCTTCGACCTACAGGTCTGACCCAAAAGGCAGTAGAGCATCGTAAGGAGGTGCAAGCCCATGGAAGCCGGTGACCAACGATTGGTTCATACGTCATTTGTCCCCGTAGGATACTGGAGCCCATGTGCACCATTTGTTTGGAATCCGGTTAAAGCGCCGGACATTCGCTTTCCGTCCTCTCAATTTCATAAACAACACCCGTGGTTTGAGAAGGCAGTGAGTAGGACTTCCCTGACGTAGGCTATATACGCGTGTCATGTGAGAGCATTTGGAGAGGGAGATCGGACTCTACCCACTCTCGGCCGTACCTGGGCAACTGTAAGGGACTGAAATATTATAACTTATCGCTGATTATTTCTGTGACCGTTATTGAACATGTTTATGAAACTATAGTTAAAATAACAGTAGTTTTAAATCAGAAGAATAAAAGGCACTGATTAGTTTAATCCCATTAAACTATTAAATTTTATTAAAATGTCCATAAAACCTTCTTCTGATAAATATGTTAGTGTTTAAGCGATTCGAACTAATTATTGAGAAAATTGTTTCAAATAACTAGTCATTCACAAAGTAAGCAGGGTAATATATGACAACATTTATTTCTACTCTTTGTAAAACCTTATTTGAAAAGAACAACAACATACTACTACAGCTAAACTTACAACGGTCCTACATGTTTTTACTGGAGATTGTCAATGACGAAATACACATTAAGTATCAATGCTGATATTCTCGTATACTTTTATCCATGTGATGAGCGCAAATCGATATCACAATATAGAAACATATTCATGTTGTGTACGAGTGAGTTAAAATTAAAATTTACCATGGCGTAAATAAATCCAATTAACAAGACTTGAGTTAAAAAGCGGAAATCCAAATATTTTACTATCATTCACTTCCTAGTAAAACAATCAAGATATAATCAGCGTTAATATTCAATAAAACCATTATATGAACCAAATTCAAAATCACTTACTACTACACATTAAAAATCTCATTGAAAAGTAGTTACTTCTTGTAACATCACTTACTGGTGAACGCTGTTTCTATACTGTAGTGCACAAGAACACGGGCGAGGACAACCAGTTTGTAATGAATGCTAAAGTACAGAGTTACTTGAAAAAATAATGCGCACTGCTGAGGAGTCCCATACCAGGACGAAACGGCCGTCCAGTGCTTCCAGGTTTCCAACGGTGGTCTAGCTTCAACTGACTCATGATTTCAACCTGTGGGGTTTCTAAAACTCTCCAAAAATCCCATTCTGATAAAAACCATCATTATTTTGCAAAATATTAATCCATCATATCAAACCGGACTGTTCTTGTTGTAATCATCAATCCATTGTCTCACATTTCATTGTTCATGCGGTTTCTTACAAATTGCATTGTGTTTTTGCGCTTCCTTTCTTGATCTTCCATTTTTTGCTGCCAGACATTACGTTCGTCAACTCATGTTATATACTACTGATATCAATATAAGTAGTACGCACCACAATACTACTTATAGAAAGTTCCAAAACAAAAACGTTTTTAATAATAAAGCCTGTAACGGAACAGATGACTGATATATCCGAATATTCAAAACTTGAAAACCATTTCTTCTCCTTTTTTTTATTTATTTCATAAAATGTTTTTCTTTTTTGAAACCAGTAAAGAAACAGAAATTTAAAAAGTATGTTAACCATTGGAAGTAACTTCCGTTTTATTTTGTAAAAAATAAATGTCTTCAAATCATATCGAATGGTGAATACAAAAAACAGAGGGTTTTGTTGTTGTTGTTGTTGTTGTTGTTGTTACCAACCAATATCGATCAAGTAAAATCTATATGATAAGGATAAAATAACATATACAGCCTAGATACATAAAGCCTCCCCTTCCGCCATAAAAGTGAATGGTACATTTATAGTGTTAAGCCTGATATTTTTTTAGTGATTAGCGTATTTATGAAGCTGTTTACAAATTACACAATACTAACTACTCATAATTAAATAATCACTAAACTTGATATATCTTATTGTCAACTTTTTCTATTTGAATGGAAGAGATTACTTCCTGTCAGATGTTGTTTGAGCTCATGTTCTAATGTTGTTTTTAATGACTTTTCTTCATTGAAAAGATCAAACAAATTTGAGGTAAAGTAATCTACAATATAATTCTAAAATGACTTATCCATTCATTAATAGAAAAATGAGGATAAGTATTATAGAAACAACTGTACCCTAGTGACAATGAAATAAGAAAAGAGTGATAAAAGCCAAGATCTTTCATCAGTAGTAAAGCAAATAGATGGATAACAACATACTAAAAATCCATCAATGAATCTTGGCTTTAGGGGACAAAACACTTTGTACAGTTTCATTAAACGCTAATTGATGAACAAGTAACACTGTTTAAATACAATTAAATCATTGGTAAGTAATATAATGTTGCCTAATGCAAATTCACAGAGCACAGCTCATAATCTTAACTCGGTATTCAAAAAGAGCCACCATTTAATTACCTTGGTAATTGAAATCAATCCAATTTTTATTCTTGTCAAAATAAATGTTTGCTTCTTAATTTATCTTTCCGAAATAATCATAAATCTTTTTCTTGTTCTTATCATAACACCATTGGATGCCAGCTCAGTGGTTCAGTAGCTTAAGCGTTTTCGCGCGAGACTGAAGGCCCTGAGTTCGAATCCCGCGAGCGGGATCGTGGATGCACACTGCTGAGGAGTCCCACAAGAGGACGAAACGGCCGTCCAGTGCTTCCAGGTTTTAAATGGTTGTTTAACATCAAACGGTTCATGATCACAATGAAAAACTTAACAATACCCACAACCACTATACTGATATAACATTATTATTTGTTAATATTCTAGAACTAGCACAGTCATGATTCATTGAAAAGTCATTAGCGCTTTAGTTTCAAAATTCATTAGTTTTATCCATCATAAAGATTACTGTTGTTTTTTTCACTGATAGTTAAGTTGATAATATAAACTATGCTAATACTTTGAATAAAGTACTGTATTGTTAAGATGGTGGTTGGAAGTATTCAACAGGAAACCCTGAACCCGGGTTTCGTGCTACTTGGAACTCGTCAGCAAGGTGTACCCGTAATCTTGAGGGAACTGGTACTCCCTGGCGGAGTCGACCTTGTGTCACCCAGCTCCATAGTCAGAGACGTTGCCACAGAACTATCCGAGCCGCGACTAACCTTCTGTAAGACTGAGATGTAATCAATTGATTGATCACTGGGTGTTGATCAATGTCATGCATTCCATCTGCACTAATAAGGACTAGACACGCATGACATTGATCACCACCCAGTGATCAATCAATTGTGAGTATTGTATTGTGTTTAACTGAAGAGAAAACAATAAAACTCAGTGAATTGATTGCATTTCACAAACATTGACATTCATAGTAAATTTCAATAGTATAGTATTGTTAAATGTACTTTACATATTTATTTTTCCTATATGTTTTTTTTATTCAAGATTAAAACATATGTGAGTGGTGTGCTAGAAGTATTAGCTAGAGACGCTGGTATCCCATATGGAAATGAAGAGTACAAAGAACGAATAAGAATATTTACAAATGATCTAAAACTAGTAACCAGTGAGTTACAAAAGGTATGTAACATGTTAGTCTAATTTTGTAAAGATATCCTTATATATTGAGATTTCCATTCTTTATATAAGATAGAATTAGCCTCATTCGTAACAATCTTTTTAGAAAATCAATAACAATAAACTGTATAGGATGGAGTTACTTCCTTAGTTTGACATCACAGACTATCTTCAGTTAGACAACGATTGAAGACCAAGAAACAATCGATAGCTGTTTCAATTTAGTACAGGAATGCTCAGCAATATGTATCCACACCCATAGTAGATATTGAGCCTAAGTGAATGGTTAAGCTTAAGACCTTACATCTAGTGATTTACATTTCTAACAAGAGTTATTTAGTGATATTGTAGTAGTATCATTCATTGACATTTGTCTAACAACATTTCTCAAGAAATGAATTCATTTTCTTATTTCGTAGCCTCTAAAGTTCCCATATACACATTAATTATGTAAATAAAATTCCATAGTGTTAAGTAATAATAACCCTAATTCTGACAGTAAAAATAAAGTGGAAATTGAAACTTGACAAAGATGAACAGTGTGAATCTTAATACAATAAAAATCAAATATGGTAAAAAAAAATGAAGAATCATTAGAACAGTTATAGGTCAGAAAATGTAATGAAAACAGGGTCGAAAGTAACAGTAAACCGAATGGAAGTGAAAATTGTGATTAAGAACAAGTCACTTCTTTTTTTCTAATTGAAATAATTAATTTGTTGTTCCTTTTGTGTACTTACTAGACAAAGTATAAATTATTTACTAACTTACTTACTTACTTACGCCTGTTACTTCTCGTGAAGGAGCATAGGCCGCTCACCAGCATTCTCCATTCAACCCTGTCCTGGGCAATCCTTTCCAGCTCCTTCCACTTCCTATTCATCCTTTGTATATCTGCTTCTAGTTCCCGACGTAATGTGTTCTTTGTCCTTCCTCTTTTCCGCTTCCCTTCAGGATTCCATGTTAGGGCTTGCCTAGTGATTGAGTTTGATGATTTGTGTAATGTATGTCCTATCCATTTCCATCGTCTTTTCCTAATTTCTTCTTCAGCTGGAAGTTGGTTTGTTCTCTCCCACAGAAGGCTGTTGCTGATGGTATCCGGCCAATGGATGTTGAGTATCTTGCGTAGTGTAAATGGATTTACTAAATTATCTAGACTCATAATATAACTGCATGTGAAACTGTCGGGTAATCTAGCGTTATTAACTCACATATTCCTTCGTACGCATTCATAAATTCTTTTAGATAAAATCCTGTGAGTTTTAGTTCGTTCTCCAATCGAGTGATTCGGATTTAATGATGAAAATGAATCATCAACTTCAACGTTTCAGTGGTTACATAAAATTCTTATAACTCGTGATGTAATATAGTTTGATATACTTTTTATTATGTTATGCTAGTCGACATTAATTAGGAAGAATAAGAATAAAAAGAATGGACTCATGTTATCAAGTTGATTTCAAAGTATTACACCAGATAATATTAAATGTTTACACAATAAACTCTAAACAATTAACTAAAAGTATGTGTTTCATATCAGAAGGGTTTTGTGGATATTATAGTAATCTCAATAGTTGGATCATGAGTCAACCAGGTCTGTTGTTAGATAGTAACTCACTGAAGACATTGTATCGCTCGATTTCGTGGATTAGTTGAAGTTAGACATTAACACCGTTGGATGTCGGCCAACTCAGTGGTCTAGTTGTAAAGCGCTCGCACGCGAGACTGATAGGTCCTGGGTTCGGATCTCGCAGGGGGTGAAGTCGTGGGTGCACACTGCTGAGGAGTCCCACAATATGACGAAACGGCCGTACAGTTCTTCCAGGTTTCCCATAGTGATCAAGTTTCAGTTAAAATTATGCATATTTGTAAAGATAAAAAAAGAACGATATTCAACTGAAAAGGTAGGTGTATATTACATAGATGAGGAACATATTTGTCTGATTTATGATCTTTTTTTAAAATAATGACAATAAATGTTTATTTCTATCAAGTTATATGATACCTGTCCAAATATGATCTAATCTATAAATTACGTCTAATTTAACTATGTAATTTAAGAATAACTTATATATTAAAACGTTGTATAATAATGAAATGCAATATTTTCAACCAATTTCAAACATACTTTAAGGATAGATATATAATGAGTTAATACTAAAATTCTGTCTGTAGCTCTTCTAGGGTTATTACTGGTCCCAAACCCGGGTAAAGGAGGAGGGTTGTGTGTGAGTTTGATAACCGCATCCTATAGAAAAAAATCTTGCTAAAAAAACGCCGACTAGAATAAACCAATTAAACCACTTAAATTCTCTCATCCGAGTTGAAGAGAGTATTATGATGTCTCAGGATGAAAGCCGAGATTCTTCGAAAGTCATGAGGCTGACAACTATGGCAAAAACTTTTATAGGTAAGTGGAATGTTCGGACAATCTAGGAGACCGGAAGAACCAGTCGAATAGCTAACAAAATGATGAGATAAAGCTTAGCAGCACTCGCAATCAGCGAAACTCATTCAACCTAAGATGGTCAAAAAGGGTAAGGTAGGGCAGAGATGCTGCTGTACACCGGTCACAAGGGGGAAAATGCTCCACAGACCAAGGGAGTTTCTCTGATGCTGTCCAAAGAAGCACGAAATGCACTTATACGGTAGGAATCTCATGGATCCAGGATCATCAAAACACCACTCAAAACAAAGACAGAGGCAATTACAATGAGTTTTACCCAATGTAATGCACCCACCAATGATAGCAATCACAATGATCAAGATCAGTTCTACTCCTGGTTACAATCAATAATAGCGAAGTGCTCAGGAATGCACATGTCTAGGAAAAAGAAGGCAAGACGATCAATGAGATTCAAGAACAGAGGAACAGATGGGTGGAACAGTTCGAAGATCTCTTGAATAGATCACCTCGACCGAATCACCTGGATATCGAAACAGTACACATAGACCTACCTATGGATATCAATCTACCAACGATCAAACAAATCAGGATGGTCATCAGACAAATCAAAAGTGAGAAAGCAGAAGGAACTGACAGAATACCAACTGAATCATTCAAGTCGGACATAGAAGCAACTGAAAACATGCTCCATGCTCTATTCAAGAAGATTTAGGAGGAAGAACAAGTGTCGATGAACTGGAAAGAATGATACCTCATCAAGATACCAAAGAAAGGAGATCTGAACAATTGTAAGAAGTACGGAAACCAGAGGCATCACACTACTGCCAGTATCAGAAAATGTTTTCGACAGTGTTTCTCAACCGGATGAAAGATCAAGTAGACGCTCAAGATCCAGATCAACAGACCGGAGTTTGTAAACATCAGTCGTGTACAGACCAAATCACGACACTACGAATAATTGTTGAGCAATGAATTGAATGAAACTCATCACTATACATCAACTTCATTGACTATGAGAAGCATTTGACAGTGTGGACAGTGAGGACTTTATGTAACCCTATTCGACACTATCATATAGATGAGAAGATTGCCGAAATCATTCGGAATTCATACGACGGATTACAGTGCTAGGTGGTGCATGGAGGACAGGTGATGGATGAATTGCAATCGACTCTGCTTTATCTCCCCCTTCCTCTTTCTTCCGGGGGTTGACTGGATTATGAAAACCTCGACGTCTGAGAGAAAGCACGGAATATAATAGACATCTTGGAAACAATTAGAAGAATTGGACTTCTCAAATGACCTGGCCGTTCTATCCCATACACATCAACAAATTCAGGTCTATACAACTAATGTGGCAGATGACTCTGCAGCAGTGGACCTCAACATACACAAGGAAAAAAGCAAGATTCTCAAATACAACACAAAGAACACACTTGGTGGATAAACTCTGGAAGAGATGGAAGCATTCACGTACCTCGACAGCATCGCTGATAAACATGGAGGATCTGATGCAGATTTGAAGGCGAGGATTGACTAAGCTATGGCCACATTCCTACGGTCGAAGGACATATGGATCTCAAAAGAACTATTAATCAATACCGAAGTCAGAATCTTCAATACGAACTCAAAGACAGTTAATTCTATTGTATGGAGATGAAACTTGGAGAACTATCACAACCATAATCGAAAATGTGTAGATATTTTTAAACAATTGTATACGAAAGATACCCAATTTCTATTGACCGGACACCATCAACAGTCTACTGTGGGAGAGAACAAACGAACTTCTAGTTGAAGAGGAAATCGGGAAAAGATGATGGGGTAGACAAGACACAAATTGAGAAAATTATCAAACTGCATCACGAGGCAAGCGCTAACTTGGAATCCTGAAGAAAATTAGAAGAGAGGAAGATCAAAGAACACACCGTATAGGGAATTCAAAGCAGATATCAAAAGAATGAATAGAAGTTGGAAAGGACTGGAAAGGATTTCTCAGGACAGAGTTGGATAGGGAATGCTGGTGAGCTGTCTGTACTCCTCTTTGAGGAGTAGCCGGTGTTAGTAAGCCAATAAGTTCTACCACCGTACATCCATGAAGAACACCACTCAGATACACATAGGCGACGGATGACATGGGACAAATAAGCATCACACAAGTTGGCGTATTCTACATCACTGCAGTGAGAAAGACAGTTTACAATACAAGAAGTGAAACAGAAAAATCTAATACCGTTTGAAGTGTGAAAATCGAAAAAAAACATCAAATAGATCTCTAGAAGAATGGATCAATTTAGACAATGAAAAGTAAAAGAAGCCCTACAATAGACAAAACAACAGAAATTTGGCTGAAATATAACTTGAATTTGGTTATAAGAGAAATACTATGACTTTTCGCTATGTACCATTCAAAATAGATTTTTTCTGAATCAAATAATTTGCTTTATTGCATACAATACATGTCGAGTATCACAAAATAATTGAACTCGATACACTTTTAAATGTAACAGAATAATCTGACTGCATTAAGAAACCATGAGAAAAAAATTAATAACCAAACACCTGCTATGTTCTAACAAAATGTTGTTCACATATTTGTCTTTCCCTTTTGCAAACTAACAACTACCTAGAAAAATTACTTCACTTCCATTGATTGAACAGTACCATTAGACCAGTTTCTAGACAATCTAGCAAAAGTTCTCCGGAGGAAATAAAATCAATAAGCATGTTATAATATAATCTATTATATTCATCAATTACAAATATTGGTCGTGAACAAAGACCCTAGTTACAATAATATTCCTCTAACTAAAGTATTTCACAGAATACTAATGTTGACTTAATATTGTTTGATGAGATCATACTGGATGGTAAAAGTTTGGAAGCTTCACATCTACTCAGAGTTCGCTTTGGTAATACGTTTAGAAGGGAAACTAAGATATTTACTATCAGACTACCTATGTTATCGAATTGCTAGCTCTTAGATCCAAGTACATATACATTAGTTACTAAATGATTTTGAAAACCTACAAAAGATTATTTCCGTCATAGAGTAAATTGGACAATATATTCCGTTATTTTTCCTTAAATTCTGTTTTTACTCTTAGATTTATCGACGTACAACTCCGTCAAAATGGTCACAAAAATCTAAACTTGGTGATTTAAATATCAATGGAAATGTTTACGATTGGTCAGGCTTATTAGATGCTTATTTTGATGAGACTGATGTGGTTTTTGATTCGGACTATCCAATTTATACCCGATATTTAGACTATTTACAAAAATTCCCAATACTTATTGGTACATTGGAAAGAAATTTCACAAAATCTGTAGCTGATCGGTAAGTAAATATTTATAATTATGATGATCATCTTGTGGACAGTCTTCTTACTTACTTACTTACTAACGGCTGTTATATCTAGTAGAGCATAGGCCATCTTCTTTCCAGTTGTTCCAAAGTGTTGTTCATTCCTTTGATACATGCCTCCAGTTTCCGGACAGTGTGTTCTTTGGTCGGGCTCTTTTCTTCTCGTCTTGAGAACTCCGAGTAAGGGCTCGTCCAGTGATGCAGTTTGGTGTATATCCTATCCACCTTCAACGTATTTACCTAATTTCCTCTCCAGCTGGAAGTTGGTTTGTTCTCTTTCCACAGTGGGTTGTTGCTGATGGTATCAGGTCAACGGACATTGAGTATCTTGGGTATACAATTGGGTACTCTCCATACATATTTAGTAACGAATTTTTATTAAGAAAAAAAACTAGTTTTTCTTGTTAGAACACATGCGATTTTACTTAGTTTTGTAACACTGAACGGATCCAGTCAGCAGGAATCTGTTTTATTCAACGAAACACTGACAATGCATTCATTTTTTGTTCCACACTGGAAACGTCACAATAAAAATGATCATTACCCGGTGAGGACAGAAGCACGTGTTGAACTTGCTTTTTTTTTAAATAAAAAGCTTCATTTTTTCAGTCATCCGTATGACATTAACTAATGTAATTCGAAATATTAGAAAATAATTGCTTTTAGCAAATTTCTCTTAATGAGATAACCATATTAAATATTAAAGTGACTATTCTTTGCCTTATATTCAATCAAAAGTAGATGAATTGTAGTATTTATTTATATCATATGGGATTTTGTGGAAATTGTAGTAATTTCAATGGTTAAGATCATGATATTAATCAACATATGCTCACTAGTGACTGACTTCACGAGGTATATCCTGGAGTTCTGGTGAAAAGTAGTGATCAGTGGAGTTCAACCAGGTCTGTTGTGAGATAGTAACTCACTGAAGACAATGGTGAATATGTCGCTCAATTTCGTGGATTAGTTGAAGTTAGACATTAACACCGTTGGATGTCGGCCAACTCAGTGGTCTAGTTGGTTAAGTGCTCGCGCGCGAAACCAGTAGGTCCTGGGTTCGAATCTCTCAGGGGGCAAAGTCGTGGATGGGCACTGCTGAGGAGTCCCACAATAGGACGAAACGGCCGTCCAGTGTTTCCAGGTTTTCCATGGTGGTCTAGCTTCAACTGATCCATGATCTTAACCATTGATTTTTATTTCGAATTAGTCAGATGAGACATTTTAAAATCATAAAGAGAAACATTTTTATCAAAAGAGTTGTTAATACTAATTCTAATGTTACTGAATACTTTTCATTGATCTTATTATGGTTTAAAACACAATAAACTGAGGTAACCATTTATATTTCTTCCTTCTAATATAATATCTTCGTTAATCAATTTGTTCCATACAAACTATGTATGGTATTTAGAATGTTTTTTATAAGGTATCTTTTCAATTGTATATTGACCTATTAAATGTGGAAAAGATTATTTTTAGGTATCCTTTGCATTCCTTTCAGGGTGAATTCAGTAGTTGTTTAGTTAGTGAACATAATCAATTTGATGGAAAACCATTCAATTTAGAATTTCAGTGTATATGCACAATAGTGTTCTTTTTGTGGTATTTAGCGTAGTATAACAACCCCCCCCCAAAAATCAACATAGAAATAAACAAACCATAGCAAAAGGGGAGAAATGATTTGGAAATACAAATAGTTTATTAATGGAAATGTAGATGAAATATTTAACACTTGATATATGATTATACATATATATGTATTAGCAAATAAAAAGGTTATTGTTAAAGGAAATGTTACTAACATCAAGTAGAATATGTATTTTATTTGTTAGTTGGTACATTTTAGATGAACATCTACTTGACCTATGTACGTAATGATTATGACTGACTTAGAAACTTAGAAATGTTGAGTTTGTTTGATGAGTGCACTGTTGTTGTAACTGTGGACTGCAGATTAGACGGCAGTAATTTATCGATCGGACCAAAGACGTGTAAAACACGTGAGAACAGCCTAGAGTTCTAGTTGGTCCTGCTTTTCGCCTAGCTCAGCCAGTTAAGTCCAGAATGCAAGTCCCAGCCTCTGAGATAGGAATCCTTATATTTCAAATATACTGAGTTTGCATATCAATCAAACCGACCACAACGTACCAATAAAATATGAAACAACATCTGTACAAGAATAAGCCAGATGTGGCTGTGAATGAAGGAGGTAGCGATTAACAAACAGGGAATAGTTCATGAATGGTAAATCGTATAGTACTAGTTCATAGATCAAAATAAAGCTCATAATAAGAGGGAGATGAATATGAATAGTTTAGTTGCATAACAATTTGACGATAAAAACATACTCATAATATTGGTCCATAAATGGATCCCCAAAATTACCATTCATTATTCCTATCGGGATACAACAACTGTCATAAATAAATATGATCTTGGGTCATTGTTAATGAAGCATATCGAAAGCCATTATGTAAGAAAAGTCTCTTATTTTCATATTTTTCTAATGAAAAAGTAGCCAAATTTCTATGTCTTTTTGATGATTTTACATTTTCTGTGCTGAATGGTTCAATAAAGGAACAACGTCTAGCCAGCATCTTTCTTTCGGGCTATAAATAGTCTCCTCTTGAGCTTACACATTTATAGGCTACAATTACCTTCCATATTATGTGAGATCCCTGGTAAAATAAAGAATACACATGTAATACAACCATGCATAGTAATTCCATGCATACAAAGTTTCAATGTTTCCGCATACATTGTTATTTCTAACAAAAACTCAAAATCGTTTGAAGATAAGCGTCTCATCACATAGTCACTTAACAATTATTTCTAGTTTAGTCTCTTGTTCCAGGCATATGGAATGATTTAAAAACACTTATTACCGTGTAGAAAATAAATAAATAGGTCAGTTTGATAAGGTAACAACATAGGATTTTGTAAATTGTTTAATAAAATAAAGAATAATAATCCATGTGTTATATTTCCCTCTGTTGTGACTTCAAAGACAAATCTACAGTATATGTAAACCGATTACTATATAAGACCACTTCAATCAAGACGCCAATTATTGTTAAGTCTGAACACTTAATGTGGTGATAACATCACTCTTTATTTACTGATTTTAGTCCCGTAAATAGTTTATTCATGTTTCTAAACAAATGTGTTAATATCAGAAAGGGTTTCTGGAGATCTTAGAAATTTCATAGATTGAAATCATGAGTCAATCTGTGAAATTTCTAAAATCGCCACAAACCCCTTCTGATAATAATCATCTGCTCAATAGTGACTGACTTCAAGAGATACTCCTGGAGTTCTAGTAAGAAGCCGTTACCAGTGGAGCTCAACCAGGTCTGTTGTGAAATGGTAACTCACTGAAGACAATGGTGTACGGTGGCGCAACTTTGTGGATTGGTTGAAGTTAGACATTAACACCAATGGACGCCGACTCAGTGGTCCAGTTGGTTAAGCGCCTGGCACGAGACTGATAGGTCCTGGGTGCGAGTCTCGCGGGGTGCGGAACCGTGGATGCGCACTGTTGAGGAGTCCCACAATAGGACGAAACGGCTGTCCAGTGCTCCCAGGTTTTCCATGATGGTCTAGCTTCAATTGACTCATGATTTCAATCTGTCAAATGTGGTAATAACTAACATTTAAACGAAATACAAATTGTCATCACACTTTTATTGAAATAAATATCCGTGATTGTTTTACAGATTAAAAACGATGTGATAAACATCTGATTAAAAAGTCAATTAAATTATTTTTATTCAATTCATGAGATACTATTCTGTGTATTTCACATTGAACCCATCGATGTTTTTCAGTTTTATAAAAAGCCATATTGATTTCATATAACAGATAGCGTGTTATGTAAATCATTGTTCAGATTGTTAGTTTCATAGAGCTCATATCATTAGCAATTAGATTTCCGCTATGATGTATACATATATGACTGCTTATGTTTCCTTCGGTTGATAGGAAGATTGTATATTGATAAATGAGATTTGAAGAAATACATGAGTTTACGTTAAACACAAATATTTCTGGGATACTCATATAACTGTTCATCTACAAATCTGTTAAGTCTTGCTGATTGGACGCTATATTCGTTCCTAAGCTATTCTGATAACCCGCACGCTAGAACTATACAGCGACCTGAACACCAGAAAGAAGACGCAAAGTATGAGAGAGACACTTTACGCCAAGGTTCGTTTTTGTACAGAAAACATGGGTATTTATAGATGTTAACGTTTGTTAAATCGACATCATATTTCGGCTAATCCGTTAACGACATATTATGCTACTGACCAATAGTAGCACGCCACGTTGGAATTCTAGAATGCTCCATCATGCTCTGATTGGCTAGGACTCTTCGGCTTCCTCTGGGCCTCTGGAGGCTCCGTAGGAGTTCTCCGAAAGCCGACTCGACAAAATCGTATCAAAATTTCACAATCAGACCCTATACAAAAAAAACACTATCGTTGAAGAAAGAGAAAGTTTCATCCAAAATACTCATATTTAATAATTAAAGGTCCCACAGAAAGCGCTAATCTGTTGTGAAGTGCATACAGCTTTGAACTAATAATAAACCAAATGTTTTCATCATCCGATGTAAAATTATCCTTTTAACAATGATTCATTGAGTAACTTTCGAAAGTTAGTTACTCAGATATTCAAGGAACGAATAATCTATGAAAAATACAACTAACTACTAGTTAGTTCCTACAGTGTTGTCAACATCATGCCAATCGATCTTCAGTCCTGAATAACTTTAGTAAATAAGTTTACAATCAATCATAATAATTATACTGTAGAAGACTTTGAAATCTTCTTGAGTTTTTTAGATATATTTTAATTTAAGCTAACAAACCATGGATTTATTCAAGCTTCTCACATACTAGACAAATGTAAAACAGTTATTTGGTATTCCTCCTTTTCTAAAGACCAAATGTTACTAACGTAAAATAAAACTTCAATATAAATTTTACTACTTATTATTAGTTAATTCATATGTGTTTTCAGGTAAAAAATTACTATGGACAAGCTAAAATTCGCCAAACATCAATACCCAGCTTAAAAATGATTAATTATAGATTTTAAAATAATTTTTAGTTTCAGACTCTTCCTTCCGTATATTGATGGCCAAAATTTTCAGCTTTCGGTAAACACTATAGTTAGCTCCCAAATGCCCTGGTATGGCCGAGAGTGAGGAGACTCCGCTCTTCCCCTTGAAATGCTCTCAGACGGCCACGCGTATATAGCCTCTGCCAGGGAAATCCTATTCACTGCCTTCTCTCAGCGGAGGTGTTGTTTACGAAATCGAGAGGACGGAACGTGAATGTCCAGCGCTTTAACCGTATCCCAAACCAATGGTGCACAAGGGCTCCAATTTCCTGCGGGAACAAATGGCGTATGAACCAATTGTTGGTCACAGACTTCCATGGGACTACATCTCCTTACGATGTTCCACTGCCTTGTGGATCAGACCTTTAGGTCGAAGGCTCTGGGAGTGGCCCCCTAATGAAAACCACCTGCTTCGGTTTGGGCACCCGGGGCAGTATCACAGCCCTCACACATATCGAATGAGATTTGTGTGGCGCATATGTATTTGGTGCCCCCGTGTAGCAACATCTATGTGTTAAATAAATAAATATTTTGAAATGATTAACTTTAAATCCAACAGTTTAGACATTCCCTGTTTAACCTGTTTAACCAAATCATTTAGATAAAGATCAGTTGTTTAGTTGGTTATCAATGTCTATTAAATTAGAACAAAAACAATTTTAAATAATCAGTATGATAGTTTATTCAGTTACTAAATAGTACTGAGTTTAACCAAAGGTGAATTAAATGGTAATTGTGACAACGGATCACGTGTGAACTCGAGGAGGCTGTAAGAGGCTCAGAAGGAGCCGAAGACGTTCCATCCAATCACCTTTCGAAAAAATATTCTAGAATTCGTACGTGTAGCTTCCCGATTGGATAATGCTAATAGCCCCTTGTATGCGGATCGGAGGACTGTAATGATGATTTCGTTCTCACTAAAAACTATAAATACCTGACAATTTTGTACTATGATTGACACTGTTTGGAATAATATTCCTTTCATCAGTCTTCTGTCTTCTTATTGCGACTTGGAAGGGTTTTGGTGTTTTAGTGCTCTGTTATACGCGGTATATCAATAAATCAATTTTCAAGATATAGCAGTAATAAATAAGCGCTTTAAAACGCTAATAAAAGTAAATATTTCAATTTGCTGTATCGGTAAAATAACTGTATTTTCAACAGTCTTAGGATAATGGGGCTGCCATTTAGGCCCCTTCACCTGCGCTATATAGTACAACAAATTAGTTGGCAGAATAATGATCTACCTTAATAAATAATTCGGTAAAACAATTCAGTATAAATGTTTGTAATTCACAATATACATCCCTGAATGACCTTAGTTAAATGATCACTGTATTATAGTAATTGATGGACAGCTGTTTCAGTTCTAATATGGAATTTTTCAACAGTGTAAATCCTGGATTGCATGATGGACCGAACACAGGACCTCAAGGTTACTGGGGAAGAACCCACTAGTGTATGTACTTATCCTCAACCAGTTCGCGATATGAGACAGCTATTTTCCATTATCTTAGGTATTTGTAAGGACTGTTGAATGTTCCTGATTTCAATAACATTTCATAGTCTCCACCCCCAATACCAGTGGTTCTGGATATGACTAACAGAGACGAAGTCATCTGTCGTTAGAAAACATACTTCTGTAGAATTATAAACATTTTTCCCAAGTTTATTCCTTTCATCAAGCATGTGGCTGTGTGGTTGCAAACAGTGAATAACATGTACCCTAAGGTACTTGAAGCTACCACCGACCTTTCACAAATGGTTTATTATGTGTGTTTTAAATAGTGATTAACCAGAAAACCGCACAATTTTGTCTAATTTAAATTAACTACTATAACAATATAAACAATATAAGACGATAATACCAAGTGAATTACTATAACAATAATTAAGTAGTATATTAAATTTTGCAACAATCGTTGGGCTCATTCTCGGCATGATTTTACGTCATATCGTTTTCGTGATATTGTCGTGACTTTTACCTCAAGTATTGATTTTGACCTATCAATTAAACGGACCTCATTTCGATTATGAGCCAGTTATTTTAATGGTCACATCAAGATCATTTACGACAATACGCGGTTAACAAAAGTCATTGGAAAATACGATATTGTTTAAACTCTGATAACTGATTTACAACAAAACAACCATCGAAGCTACAAAATTTCCTATATTATTTTTGTCTATATGATACAATTATGACACCACTATGCATCTTATTAAACATAGTCATAAGCCATATCTACCTTACGAATTCTAGAGATACAAACTGAATCATCCAAGTGAAATAGTTGTTTGTGTGATGAGAGTTTTGGAGCGATGAGTTTCAGTTCTTGACTCTAGTAAACAACAATTCGACAATAAATCATGCTAACAGTTACCAGTCTATGTTTTATTTTATCCATGAATATAAATATGTTTCTATTTCTCATCTCCAATTTACCAAAATCATGTTTATCTTCACTATTTGACGACACCTCGTACAGAAATTTCAGATAAATTATTCACATCAACAATAAATGCCTATGTGTTTTCATCCAGTATAAACAATAAACATTTATTATTAGTTATTTATTTAAACACATAAACATTGGTACAAGGGGCACCAAATACATATGCGCCACACAAATCTCATTCGATATGTGTGAGGGCTGTGATACTGCCCCGGGTGCCCAAACCGAAGTAGGTGGTTTTCATTAGGGGGCCATTCCCAGAGCCTTTGACCTACAGGTCTGATCCACAAGGCAGTGGAACATCGTAAGCAGATGTAGTCCCATGGAAGCCTGTGACCAACAACTGGTTCATACGCCATTTGTTCCCGTAGGATACTGAAGCCCATGTGCACCATTGGTTTGCGATCCGGTTAAAGTGCCGGACATTCACTTTCCGTCCTCTCGATTTCGTAAACAACACCTCCGCTGAGAGAAGGCAGTGAATAGGATTTCCCTGGTAGAGGCTATATACGCGTGGTCATATGAGAGCATTTGGAGAGGGAGGGCGGGCCCATCCCACACTCGGCTATACCAGGGCATTTGGGTGCATTAATTGGAACGATTATAATAAGAAAAATAATGTTATAATATAATATTTATTTTCATCGTAATGATGAGGTGTAGTGAAAATCGTAAAGAAGGCTGTTAAGTACATTTTTCGTACTTATAATATTTTATCCTGTAGCTCAAATGCTTTACCAATATTCTTTCAAAGTCTACATATCCTACAATATCCTTATCAAGAAATTGCGTCGAAATATTGGTGAATATACATGCAAATAAATGATCAATAATAAAGTAAATATCTACCATATATTCATCATAACGGTTATGTTATATAGCTTGACAACAGAAAAAATAATCGATTTATTTATAGTCATCTCAAAATGTATAACTGATGCAAATAAAATACATTTTAGATATTTGATTCTTATTTGACTGATAATGTAACTATAAACTGTCTCAGTTAACCTTAAATAGTATAATTTTACACAAATATGTATGTTCAAACAACTCAAATCTTACTTTCAATTGATAATATATATTCTATACTCATTGTCTAATCTCAGTATGATCTGATTGTTAATGATATAGATGAAATATAGATCCTAATAATTTATATGTTCTGTCGATTGAACCGGTTGATAATAAGTTGGATTTGAAAAAGTAGGATACTGATGTTTCGGATGTTTATTATTTCATATACCTATTTTGGAAAGTAGACGAAGAAATAAGAAGTGTGGATGTTTCTACTCAAAATATTACTAATATAATATTAATTAGAATAGATAACCCATAGTACGATAAAGGGGCAGTCACTGAATAAAATAATAGGTGTACAACATCCAAGAATACATTAGAAATATAAGTGTAAATGTGTAAGGACATGAATATAAGAGATATATATGTAATGAAGGTTACAATTTCCAATCAAGAGAACAGAGTCATTAAGATGGCAAAAACGACTCAATAGTTAGTTGTCAGATTTGCCTAAGTCTGTTCAAAAATTTGGTTAATTCGTGTAATTGTGTAATAATAAGAAAGCTAGCACAACACTATAACATTTTTTCCTACTGTTAATTTTATTTTAACTGAGTCTTATTTCATTTGATTATTGGCTTCTGTGCATTAAGTAACTACTTGCCGAATCTGTGATCTGGAGATTAAGCGTTCAAACACGAGATTGAAGAGTCCCGGTTCGATCTCCTTTGGCGAAACCGTGAATACGAACTCCCAAAGAATCAAGTATTGGAAAGAACAGGTCTTCAATGCTTCTTGATTTTTACTGGGAGTCTAGATGAGATTAGCATGTGATTTATGTCAAAAAATTTCTACAATCTCCACAAACCCCCTTTGGTGATGAAAATAACCATACTCATGTTATTCAAACCCTTTTCACCCAGTATCGTAGTTTCAGAAGTTACCATTGAAACATTCAACTAGTGACTGACGTCCTATATACCTGAATAATTTACATTGGCTAACTAATTAATGTTAACTTATGCCATGTTATCTTTTCCTCAGTTGAGTCGTATTTCGGTCCCTTCATGACTTTATGTGCACCTTGAGAACAAGTGGAGATCAGTAAAGAAACTAGACTCTTTTAGGTAGATTACTACATCCTAACACTGATTCATCGGTCAACTAATCAGATTTCCTTAATTGACTTGTTTTATTTTTATTAAACTTTTGTAAAATGTATTCATATTTAACATCAGAATATAAAAAACCACATTATTCAAAGGAGTTTACATGATATCTTTTGTTTAATTTACAGAATCATGAATAACTACATGTTGTGGAATGTTCTAGATACGTACACATGGCATTTGTCATATGAATATTACATGTTACATTTATCATACAATTATCAAACTGAACATATCATGGATCTGGAGTGTTTTTTTGTAACACATGAACTATTTGATACTGTATTAGGAGCAATTTATGCTGAAAAACATGTACATAACGAAACAGAAAACGAGGTAAACATAACATTGTGAATTCATTAGTTTTTTTTTTTAATTTTCATTTGAGCATATTAAAATCATTATTCATTATGAGTAATATGAGTAATGGATCAGATCACTTTGACACTTCATTCAGATTACTGAGGAATTCTAAGTTGCTTCAATATTCAATACTTATCTTATAAACCAAGATAAATGAACCACGATATTTACAAAGTGAGCAATAGTTAGACGAAACTACATTTAAAATACTTACATCTTGTAATACACTGAATTCCCGAACAGAAACTTACCTGTTATGTTGTTCACTTTGGTATAGTTATACCATGAATAATCAATAAAAGTGAATTGAGTGTATAATTTCTAAACCTCAGTTTTTCTATTCTCTTAAATTTGAAATTCACAATGACACATGCAAGTCAATATAGGCGCATTCCTCCTAAGGAATAATTTTTTACCATAATATTAAATCTCTTTGTATGAATAAACTGATCATGGGTTTTTATGATAATCTACCATCCTTTAGTGTTTCAATAGTAATTAAATGTTAGAATATATTTCATAGTATTAGTAACCTATAGACCTATATCAGAAGGGGTTTTGTGGATATTATAGTAATTTCAGCAGTTGAGATAATGAGTCAGTTGAAGCTAGACCATCATGGAAAACCTGGAAGCACTGGACGGCCGTTTCGTCCTATTGTGGGACTCCTCAGCAGTGCCCATCCACGATCCCCCACCCCGCGAGATTCGAACCCAGGACCTACTGGTTTCGCGCGCGAGCACTTAACCAACTAGACCACTGAGTTGGCCGACATCCAACGGTGTTAATGTCTAACTTTAACTAATCCACGTAATTGAGAGACATATTCACGATTGTCTTCAGTGAGTTACTATCTCACAACAGACCTGATTGAACTCCACTGGTCACTACTTCTCAGTAGAACTTCAGGATATATCTCTTGAAGTCAGTCACTAGTGAGCATATGTTAATTAGTATCAGAAAGGGATTTGTGGAGATTGTAGTAATTTCAACAGTTGAGATCATGAGTCAATTGAAGCTAGACCAGCATGGGAAACCTGGAAGCCTGTCGCGAAACTGACAGGTCCTGGGTTCGAATCCCGCGAGGTGGGGTCGTAGATGCGTACTGCCACTGAGGAGTCCCACAATAGGATGAAACGGCCGTCCAATGCTTCCATCTTTTCCATGGTGGTCTAGCTTCAATTGGTCCATAGACAATTGTCATCATTTTCAAATGAATGAAGTTATCTAGTAGTGTGTTGGTGAATTTTAAAACTCACATACATGTACAAATGTTTTTTTTGTTTGTTTTCAGGTTAAACAAATGACAACATATTTAAAAACTAGTTTAAAAAATCATTTAAAACAAATACAATGGATGGATGAACAGACTAGAAAAGATGTGAATGAAAGAGTAAGCAAGTTATTCTTTTTTATTTTAAACCCCTTTATTATATTTCATAAAATGAGGGTTGTTTTGAAGTATTAACAAAATGAATACCACAACTGATTGATCACCACCCAGTGATCAGTCAATTGTGATCATATCTCAGTCCTACAGGAGGTCGGTCGCTGCTCGGATAGCTCAGTGGTAACGTCTCTGACTGTGAAGCTGGATGAAGCCGGGGTCGAATCCTCCAGGGAGCACCAGTTCCCTCAAGATTACAGGTACAACTTGCTGACGAGTGCCAAGCAGCACGAAACCCGGGTACAGGGTTTCCTGTCGACTACCTCCAACCACCATCTAATCTCAAACTGAATACCATATTGCCATTTGAAGATTTAAACAACAAAATATTTCAATTAATTAAATTATATTAATAATTACAGGAATTTTGTGAAGATTGTTACAATTTATTCTTTACACCATGAATTGATATCAGTGAAACAACCATTGGACAACATCCCAGCAGAGACACTAAAAGCAGACGTAGCGGCAACTGCAAGGATACTCCACATTCTCTTCAATAAGATTTGGGATGAGGAACAAGTACCAACAGACTGGAAAGAAGGACTTCTGATCAAAATACCGAAGAAAGGCGATCTCAGCAACTGTGATAACTACAGGGGCATCACTCTTCTCTCAATACCGGGAAATGTCTTCAACAGGGTATTGTTAAACAGGATAAAGGACTGCGTAGACGCCCAACTTCGTGACCAACAGGCAGGATTCCGTAAGGATAGATCGTGTACAGACCAAATCGCAACTCTACGGATCATTGTGGAACAATCAATTGAATGGAATTCATCACTCTACATCAACTTCATTGACTACGAAAAGGCATTTGATAGCGTGGACAGAACAACACTATGGAAACTTCTTCGACACTACGGCGTGCCTCAGAAGATAGTCAATATCATACAGAACTCATATGATGAATTACACTGCAAAATTGTGCATGGAGGACAGTTGACAAAGTCGTTCGAAGTGAAGACCGGTGTTAGGCACGGTTGCCTACTCTCACCCTTTCTCTTTCTCCTGGTGATCGACTGGATCATGAAGTTGCAACGTCTGAAGGGAAGTGAGGGATAAAATGGACATCTAAGATGCAGTTGGATGATCTAGACTTCGCAGAAGATCTGGCCCTTCTATCCCAAACGCAACAACAGATGCAGGAGAAGACGAACAGTGTGGCAGCAGCCTTAGCAGCAGTAGGTCTCAATATACACAAAGGGAAAAGCAGGATTCTCCGATACAACACAGAATGCACCAATCCAATCACAATTGACGGAGAAGATTTGGAAGATGTAAAAACCTTTACATATTTGGGCAGCATCATTGATGAACAGGGTGGATCTGATGCAGTTGTGAAGGCGCGGATCGGTAAAGCAAGAGCAGAATATTTACAACTGAGGAACATCTGGAACTCAAAACAACTGTCAACCAACACCAAGGTGAGGATTTTCAACACAAATGTCAAAACAGTTCTACTATATGGGGCAGAAACCTGGAGAACTACGAAAACCATCATCCAGAAAATACAGGTGCTTATTAACAGTTGTCTACGCAAAATACTTCGGATCCGTTGGCCGGACACTATTAGCAACAACATACTGTGGGAAAGAACAAACCACATCCCAGCGGAGGAAGAAATCAGGAAGAAGCCCTGGAAGTGGATAGGACACACATTGAGGAAAGCACCCAACTGTGTCACAAGACAAGCTCTCACATGGAATCCTCAAGGCTAAGTAAAGGAAACGAGGAAGACCAAAGAACACATTACGCCGAGAAATGGAGATAGACATGGGAAAAATGAGCGAGAATTTGATGGAACTAGAAACGAAGGCGGAGGACAGAGTGGGTTGGAGAATGCTGGTCAGCAGCCTATGCTCCATTGGGAGTAACAGGCGTAAGTAAGTAAGTAAGTAAGTAAGTAAGTAAGAAACAACCACTGAAAAGCAGAAAGTGTTGTATATCTGTGGTGGTCGGTATTCGATATATCCCTTAAACTTCGTATACAATTCGTCTTGATAACCGTCCTATTTAACCCCAACTGTATATTATTCAGAAGGCGAATACGAAGCGTTGATTACGTTTATTTCGAGACCACACACACAGATGTCCAAAATTACAGATGCATTAAACGAGCATTAAGAGTTGTGTCGAACGGCAAACAGGCAAGCGAGCGACTGAGCGAATGTAAGTAATCGAGTACAATCAAGCGAGCGAGAAAGCAGAGTCAACCATATGAATAACGTGGACATATATAGCATGTGAAATTAATGAGTAATCGAATCAAATAAGCGGTTAGTAGTGAGACTAGCAGAGTGAATAAATGCGTAGGCCGTAAGCAATATTCAAGCATGCGTATTTCATACAAGCACAAAATAATAATAAGGGTACAATAAATTGTTATAGTGCGGATGGCTTTGTCCGCTAAATAAGTTAGCAAAAGGGCTTAACTGAGTTAAATGAGAATAAACCCATTTGCACGTGAGTCGCTATATATCTATTCTGTCTCAGTACGGGACTTCTGAGTAGTACACATGAACGGCCTTAACCGGAACGTTCGTTAGGGTTATAGAAGTATCCTATACAAAACTTAAATAGCTTTCCGATGCTTCCCGGTTTTCAAATGTTGTTAAACTAGGGTTAGTCAAAAATATAATCCATAAAATTAAAACGTATGTCAAAATATAAATAGATCTCTGTTTTTATACACATTAGTCAACCATACCTTGATTTTACCAGACATACGAGAATAGATCATGATTATTATTATTCAACTTCAGTAGTTTACCACCTTCTTCAAAACTCATTTCTCATTGGGGATGAGATAATTTTTTTTCTAAAAACTACCTCAAGTTTATGAACCAAGGGAAGGGATTGTAAATGTACAAGTTTTCGATTGAACAACTACTTTATGACTGTAAGGTGAGGTTGAGATGTCTAAAGTACTTCATCAGAATAAAAGAGCTGAATATGGAACGAGTTCCTTTCTAATAAACTATTCACTTAACTACTAATAGTCTGTTTACCAATTACACTTTTATTTTACAACCCAATCAACATTTCTCAAAATAAAAAAATGTAAACCCAACCTAGTATTTACTTTATAAATAACTTTGTGAAGGATATCTTTATTCATACCAATCAGTTTGTTACTTTGAGTGTCGGGCTAACGTATCTTAATAAACGGTTCTGTAAGGTCTCTAGAAAATCAAAATCAAACTTTTCTAGATCCATGTTCATTTTATATACTTCTTCGAATACTCCCATTTCATAATCAAATACATCTGACTATACAAAATCAAAATGTCCGATACGAAGTGTTTTCGAGATGAATGTATTTTAGACACACCATATCACAGTAGACTAAATACTTAAGGTAAAACGAGTATAGTATGTGAATACATGAATAATATGAACATATGTTTACAATGAAATATTCAAACAGACATACAAGCAGTCATGTGTATGTATATGTACATACATAAAAGTTGTTAATTAGTCAGGCCTTAAGCGTCCACGTATGAGACTGAATGTTCTTGGCTTAATTCCCAGACTCAGCGTTCTGGATGCATACTGATGAGAAGACCCATACTAGGTTTCCAATATTGGTCTAGTTAAGGTTAGTTCATGATTCAATCTATAAAAAAATATAGAATAACTAAAATGCTGAAAAATATCACATTGAATCGTTATGTTCTTGTTTAACTTTTAATCTGTTTACATCAAAAAAGGCTGGTAGAAACTGCTCATTCAAATTTATTTACAATATACTGGTAAGTTTAATTTTAGGGAGATGCTCAAAAAGAATAAGATGAATCTGTTTCGAACTTAAATCACTTAAAATTCAGTTGGTATTGTTTGGCTTGTATCTTACAATTGAGGTTTAAGACTCCAATTGATCAGTCTGTTATTGGCATATGTGGTATGCTGTGTGTATGCCTCGATATTACCTTAATTCACAAGCTATTTGTAAGCAATGATGGATAGTGGGTTCGAGTCCTAGAGTGAACACCAACTCTCTGAGATGCAGGTACATCCAGCTGACGAGTCTCAAATAGGACGAAACGTGCGTCCTGGATTTCACTGCTAGCCACTATACATTAAATCATTTAAGATCAAAAGAATACATTTTTATAATACAGTGAACATAACATAGTATCCAAGTAAATTACATGAAACGTTTACTCTTTCTGAAGTAGATTCTATCTGATACAGAATTTTCCCATTTTTTCATAGCCAATATCAAATTATATGATTACAGACATACGGAATAAACCGGACAACAACAAGTAATAAGATAAATAGAATGTGAAAGGTAGTATTCATTCTTATTATAATTATATATTAAAATAATATGCCAGAAATTCTTTGAAAGTGTCTATTCCTACCTTAATAACTATGCTAAAATTGAATTCATTAATGTTTATCTTTATCTAGATTAACAAAATGAAAATTTTATTCAAAGTTCCGGAAATTATGCGCGATGATAAGAAATTAAATTATGCCTATCGAACGGTAAGCTTATTATAATCTTCTAATGAAGATAACTTGAAATGTATGAACTAGTTTAATGCAAAATAAACCGTGTTGATCTAGAAAAGATTCATAACAAATGTGGTCATAGATAACAGGAATGAAATAAATATTATAAAAGATATTAGATAAACGTCTCGCTCTCTTAGGAATGCACTGAAACTAAAGATTTCTGTGTCCAAAACACTAACTGTAACTAATATATTTCCATATAGGCCCCCAAATGCCTTGGTACGGCCTAGAGTGGGCAGAGTCCGCTCTCCCTCTCGAAATCCTCTCACATGACCACGCGTATATAGCCTCTGCCAGGGAAGTCCTACTCAATGCCTTCTCGTGGCATTACTGTTGTTTAGGAAATTGAGAGGACGAAAACCGAATGTCCGGCACTTTAACCGGATTCCAAACCAATGGTGCACATGGACTCCAATTTCCTGCGGGAACAAATGGCGTATGAACCAATTGTTGGTCACAGGCTTCCATGGGACTACATCTCCTTACGATGTTCCACTGCCTTGTGGATCAGACCTTTAGGTTGAAGGCTCTGGGAGTGGCCCCCCTAATTAAACCACTTGCTTTGGTTTGGGCACCCGGGGCAGTATCACAGCCCTCACACATATCGAATGAGATTTGTGTGGCGCATATGTATTTGGTGCCTCTTTGTATCAGTATCTATGTGTTGAAATAAATAATTAAAAACAGACACTGTTATTACTCAAGCTCAGTGGTCAAACTATACTGCATTGACTACGAGATATTAGAGATCTTTTTACATTTCATTTCAACTTGAATAATTTCCATGCATGCATTAAAAAATTGTTTATTATTTCTTATTCATCAGTGGCTCTTCATATGATGTCTATCTGTACTTTAAACTATCTTTCACACACAAAGCTGTAACAGACTGAAAACTCCTAAATGTTTATGAGAGGTGCATTCGGAATTCAATCATTCTTACTTTTGACTTGAGTAATTTAGGCACAGTAATTATTAATGATAAGACTACTATATATTATAAGCAGGTTAGTCTATTAAAATGCATAAAATAATATTGTAGATGGCTACGTTGATTAATTACTGATTATCAGTCAATGTTGTGTTCGTCTAGTCCTTAGTGCTAATCGAATTCAAGAGCTCATTTTTGCAGTGTCGTCAACGGCATAAGTGATTCAAAATGCATTATCTTTCGAGTAGAGGTAGTCTGCAGGATGAGTCTCCTCAAGACTTCAGACATGTCTTGCTTGAGGGCGCCGACTAAAATGGAACCTGGGTCAAGAGAAGTTTTCTGTTTATCATTTAGAATCACCTAACAATTTTGATAGTGTACAGTTCTTTAAGTTGTATAGTTTAGTTGAAAAGCTGAGAATATCTTCCTGAAGTTAATCGTAATCATCTGCTTAGAATAGAAGAGAAATTCTTGTTGAGTTATTCCATAAGAAAAATCGTGTATAATTAGTTTTGTTCATGACTCCGTTTTACCCATACCTGTGAACTTCGTAGACCGTCCAGTTGACCCATAATCATGTTATGAATTAGATCAATATCTAGCAACTGACCAAAATATGGTGGTTCTAGAAATTCTACCGCCTTTTTAGCTATTTTCCAAAATCTTGTTATTTCTCATTATTGAAGCTTTCCATCCATATTTAAATTATTGAGCTCGGATAGTTGAACGCTAACCGAAATAATAACTTCAAATGTCAAGGTTTCATTTGTTTCAAGTTAGAATTATTGAAATGTCTAATACACAGAGGTTTACCATTCGGAAAAGACTGAATTCAACGAGTGAATAATCTCTCCATAGTTTGAATATTTCATCATTATATCTTCATATAACCTAACTAGTCATTCATTATTATACCATTTATGGTATTCACACGGTACTTTGTTGATTCTATATTTCAAACATATACTTTAAGGACTAAGTATAAGTATCAATTCTATTATGTATCCGCACTATTATTACAAATATTTTTGAATTTGACATTTAATCAATTTGACGCACTAACTAGATGGAATACTTAGACTTACTGAATAAAATGTTACATGTCTCACTTCAAATAAACAGAACTATTTAATAAAATTCAGAGGCAAATAATTTCCATTAAATTTGTGTTAAAAGTGATGTAACAAACTTACGTCTGTTAACTCTTGTGTAGGAGTACAGGCAGCCCAATATCATTCTATATCCAAATCTGTTCTGAGCGATCCTTTCCAGTTGTTTCCAAATTCTATTCATTCGTTTGATGTCTGCTTTCAATTCCCGACATCGTGTGTTGTTTAGCCTTCCTCTCTCCCAATTCCCTTAAGGATTCCAAGTGAACGCTTGCCTCGTGATGCAGCTTGATAATTTTCTCAATGTGTGTCTTATCCAAACTCGGCCTGTGACTTTTCTAGTTACTTCCGCTCCCAAGACCGGAAAAAGGAGGAGGGTTGAGCATGGGGCCGGTAACCCCATCCTGTGGAAAAAAATCTTGCTTCCCCTCACATGTCAAGGTCTTTGCAATACAGTCAACCACCAGAAGAAAGAGGAAGGAAGAGAGTAAGCAGCCTTGTCTGAATCCGGTCCTCAATTGAAATTCATCCATCACCTGTCCTCCATGCACCACCTGGCACTGTAATCCGTCGTATGAATTCCGAATGATTTCGGCAATCTTCTCATCTATATGATAGTGTCGAATAAGGTTACATAAAGTCCTCACTGTCCACACTGTCAAATGCTTCTCATAGTCAATGAAGTTGATGCATAGTGATGAGTTTCATTCAATTCATTGCTCAACAATTATTCGTAGTGTCGTGATTTGGTCTGTACACGACTGATGTTTACGAACTCCGGTCTGTTGATCTGGATCTTGGGTGTCTACTTGATCTTCCTTCCGGTTGAGAAACACTCTGTCGAAAACCTTTCCTGATACTGACAGTAGTGTGATGCCTCTGGCTTCTGTAGTTCTCACATCTGCTCAGATCTCCTTTCTTTGGTATCTTGATGAGGTATCATTCTTTCCAGTTCACAGCCACTTGTTCTTCCTCCTAGATCTTCTTGAATAGAACGTGGAGCATGTTTACAGTTTTTTCTATGTCCGACTTGAATGCTTCAGTTGGTATGCTGTCAGTGATAAGTCTTGCTAATTGAACGCTATATTCGTTTCCTAAGCTATTCTCGTAACCACTAAGCTAGAACTACACAGCGACCTGAACACGAGAGAAAAGGCGCAAAATATGCGAGAAGCACTTTGCCCCAAAGGTTCGTTCTAGTACATAAAATATTGAGTTTTGATAGTATTTTAGATGTTCTTGGGTTTCCCGAAAATTGTGGAATGCTACTAAACTTATTAGCAGTATAGTAATCAACCAATCACAAACTCTACATGTGACTTTTCACTTTCTTGATGTTTCTGGCTAAACTTTTGGTGAACGCTGACTGGATAAAATGCTTGTTAGTGTTTACTGGGCCTTTCTTGGCTTTTGCGAGTTTTCTGGATCACACCAACAGTCAGGTCCTTCTGATTTTCAACTCTTGATTTGCTTGATCGTCGGTGGAGTGATATCCATTGGAAGGTCTGTGTGTTCTGCTTCGATATCCAGGTGATTCGGTCGAGATGCCTATTCAAGAGTTCTTCGAACTTTTCCACCCATCTGTTCCTCTGCTCTTGAATCTCATTGATCGTCTTGAGTTCTTTGTCCTTGACTGGTCTCGTTGGTTTACTGTATTTCTCTACCAGTTTTCCCGTTGTGTTATATTTACTTCTCTTGCGGTCTTTTCCACTGTCGCTGCTAGGTCTTCCACGTATTTCTGCTTGCTATTCTTCACTTGCTTAGTTTCTTCTGAACATTCAGCCTTGAATTTCTCTGTTCTTGTCCAGCTGTTGTTAATCGCTGTCTCCTTATCTTTTTTTCTTGAATCTTTTACTGCTGTTTCCCCAGCTGTCCAGTGGTTCTTTAGCTTCAGTTTCATCTTGGCCACAACCAGGTGGTGATCTGAAACTATGTCAGCTAATCTCTTGGTTCTCACGTCTTCCATTGACCTTACGAATTTTTCCTGATGCAAATATTATTTATCTGGTTCTTCGTGGTGTGATCCAGTGAGACCCATGTGGCTTTGTGTATGTATTTGTGTAGGAATAGTGTACTACATATAACCATTTCGTTGAATGCACATGAATTTGCAAATCTGTCACCATTCTCGTTCCTTTATCCTAGCCGCAAGATATCTTAATACCCGGTGTTGTCCATTACGACTTTGGCGTAAAGTGGTATAACAGTGTACAATTATAAGACGATTATTTTTATAGTTCTTTTCATATTATTCCAATATTTCACTAATTTTTTCATAAATAATTATAGAGAATGTATCCTTTACTAATTTTTCTAGCTGAGAACTTCATATAATTACCTAAACAATCTATTCTCAGCTATTCAATATATTCGTGGAGTGTATAATCGTCTACTTTCTGGTGTTACGGAAACAAGTGAAGAAAATTGGAGTTCACGAGATGTTATGGTGTATGATTCACATGTAGCTTTATATTTACAGTTAGATGAAGTATTTATTCCACCTGGAATGCTTCAGTTACCAATATTTCATCATAACTTACCAGCCGCTTTTAATTTTGGTGGTTTAGGATCTTTGATTGGTACCGCTATTGGTATATTAGTTGGGGAATATGGTTAGTTCTATAAAATTTATTAATGCTATAACATATAAAATTGTATCGTTTCGTAAATTCCCGATTCAGATAGATCTACCTCTTATTTGCTTGCCTCAACTGTTATAATAAACGAAGAGACCAAGAGATGATTGTAATTGGCAAGTCGAATAAAGTGCATAAGGCTCATTAGCACTTGAGCCAAGAACTTGATTATTTTCATAATCCACTCCTAAAAACGCGTCTTGTTTACCATATCAATTTTCCTTGAGATGCCCTATGAGTACAAGCATATGACATGTTTCGACTCTCCCAAACAATTAAAAGCAGATACTTATTTTCATTTAGCTATTCTTATCATACATTTTCTAATTGAATATCAAACTAATACCAATTTACTAGTTTTGAGTCAGTTAACAAAACTTATCAACTTATAGTGTCAAATAAAAATGCTGTTGAGTTAATGCAAAATACTGATTGTGTAGTGTGGCGTCGAGTCGCGGTTGACTATGATCACCACTACAGGAAGACTACGTGCCAGTTAACAGGTTAGATTCCACCTTACACCAAATATCAGAAGGCAGTTGATGGCTGTAGTCGAGATGTATTTGTTGGCAATCTCGTGGTGTCGAAAGAATACCGAGATCGTGCCACATTACAAGTGTGGTTACTGAGCGTAACCGAATTCGTGCAAGGTCACAATCAACGGAAGGAAGAATGTCTTTAGTACAGTTAAACGAACAAGTACTGTAAAACAATCCCTGATACAATTGGTTATAATAATAATTGTTTCCATTACACCAATTGCGTTCACTTGATAAAAGTAGGTCACTACAATTGATTGATTGATTAATCACTCGCTACTAGATGATACTAGATGAGTAAATATGGGTATTATAATAGATTAAGAATTGCGTTGTTTAGACTACTAACTGTACTTACTTACTTACTTACTTACGCCTGTTACTCCTAATGGAGCAAAGGCGGCCGACCAGCATTCTACAACCCACTCCGTCCTCCGCCTTCTTTTCTAGTTCCATCCAATTCTTGTTCATTTTTCTCATGTCTATCTCCATTTCCCGGCGCAATGTGTTCTTGGTCTTCCTCGTTTCCTTTACTTAGCCTTGAGGATTCCATGTGAGAGCTTGTCTTGTGACACAGTTCGGTGCTTTCCTCAATGTGTATCCTATCCACTTCCAGAGCTTATTCCTGATTTCTTCCTCCGCTGGGATGTGGTTTGTTCTTTCCCACAGTATGTTGTTGCTAATAGTGTCCGGCCAACGGATCCGAAGTATTTTGCGTAGACAACTGTTAATAAACACCTGTATTTTCTGGATGATGGTTTTCGTAGTTCTCCAGGTTTCTGCCCCATATAGTAGAACTGTCTTGACATTTGTATTGAAAATCCTGACCTTGGTGTTGGTTGACAGTTGTTTTGAGTTCCAGATGTTCCTCAGTTGTAAATATTCTGCTCTTGCTTTACCGATCCGCGCCTTCACAACTGCATCAGATCCACCCTGTTCATCAATGATGCTGCCCAAATATGTAAAGGTTTTTACATCTTCCAAATCTTCTCCGTCAATTGTGATTGGATTGGTGCATTCTGTGTTGTATCGGAGAATCCTGCTTTTCCCTTTGTGTATATTGAGACCTACTGCTGCTGAGGCTGCTGCTACTAACTGTAGACAGTATATTATCATACTAGATCATATGATACATTAGACCCAAATATCTGACCTAAGATCAACCTATAAATAGACCAGAATTCAGTTTACTGACAGCAAAAAGCATTCAACAAGTGAACTCAAATTAGGATACAGATAGAATTAATAACAATATAAAATTGTCTCGTGTTTAGTTTAGCCTAATATGTCTGTCTTTTATTGTTGATCTGTAATGGCTTACTGCCACCAGGCATATTATTAAGAATAAACACCTAACAAATTAAGTTCTATTTCATAGTTATTTGATTCAGCAGGAGACCGTAGAAAAGTCACAGCGGTACAAAAATTCTTCCATATTCAGAGGTAAGGTCTGTTAAAGTTAATTCCCACAGCTTTTATTGTTTTAAAAATGTTATTTTATAAGATGGATGTATAAGATGACTATATAGGTTACCTCTACTTGAATTTGATTTTCAGTATCGAATAAATGTGTTTTTACCTTCCACTCAGCTGTAAAGGCTGATGATGAGCTTCCCTAGTATTATTCTCGTTGTGATAAACACACGTTAAGGACATGAAAGAAGTCAACTGATATCCACATTTTAAACTCACTTTCGTCTGACTAAATAACAAAAATATCCTATTCGGTCCAGTATTCTTTGAAATGTCCCTTCTGACTTACAGCTATAATTTTTACCAGGTAGTTGACCTTTGAATTATGATTTTAGGAAAATCAGGTTTCCGGGTCCTTTTACCGTTTGCAGATGTAGTCTAACACAAATATGTATAAACTACTCAACCAAGCGATTAATCAATATTCTTTTCATCACAGGTGAATTCCATTAAGGCTTAAAATGTAAATAGACTTCATTTTCGAAGATGCATAATCTTCCTTTATACCAGCCGTTATTATGATCTGTGATCCGATACAGTTTCTTTTCCACTGCCTTAACTCATTCTCTATCAAAATAGGCCAAGGAAGAAGGTAAAAACTGCAGAGAAACCGTACATCCAGAAACAAAATCAGATTACTTATATTTCAGGTGTATTCTCAGATACTCCAAGGTTGACCAAGGCAGAAATGTCAGTGGAAGTGACCTTGAGTTGATGAATTGGTTTGTTCATTCTTATTAGCTCACACATACTTGCATGTGATTTACCGTTCTGTCTTGAATCTTAAAGCGGCTTATTTAGTTTTGCCTTTTATACAAGCCTTTCGTCATTCATAGGTTAAATTTTATTTACAAATGTTTTATTGAGACTCCAAACAAGATAAGGACATCACGGAACTTATGGAGAAACTATAGTCATATTGTAGGGAAGGAGAACACAGGTGAGGACAACCGAATCGCGCTCAGTATCAGATTACAGAGTTGCTTTATAAAATCGAAAAACACTACAGTAAATCGTTAGTTTGCAAAATATCAATGCATCATATCAACCTGGACTGTTCCTGTTGCAAACATCAATCCATTGTCTCACATTTTATTGTTCATGCGGTTCCTTACAAATTGCATTGTGTTTACGCTCTTCCTTTCTTGATCTTCCCCCATCGTCTGTTGCCAGACATTGCGTTTTTAACTCAAGTGATATACTACTTACATCGATATAAGTAGCACCCATCACAATATAACTTTCATCATTGTTTCTGAAAATTACAACAATAAAAAAAAATGATTATCAATTTTAAAAGTTTAATCTTGATTTTTCTTTTCCCTACAATTTATTTCACTTGCACTATTTGAAAAAATCTATGGATAAAAAAGGATCAGTTATGCTGAAAGGAGGTGAAATTCAGTCAGTTTGGACATCTGAAACTAGTCGTAAGTATCAAGAACAAAAGAAATGCGTTCAAGATCAGATTTACAATGCATCAAGAAATTATTTTAATTTCTCCGACTATGTAAGTCTATAATAAATTGGATTCATCCATACAATATTTTTGGCATAGTTTATGTTATCTTAAACCAATCTTACTTGAAATAACTTTGAAAGCTTTTTGTATGGGGAAATAAACATTTCTGTTGTTTTAAATTGATTCATGATCTCAACTGTTGAAATTACTGCAATCTCCACAAAACCCCTTCTGATACTAATTAACATATGCTCACCAGTGACTGGCTTCAAGAGAAATATCCTGGAGTTCTAGTGAGAAGCAGTGACCAGTGGAGTTCAACCGGGTCAGTTGTGAGGTAGTAACTCACTGAATACTATGGTGTACGGTGGCGCAACTTCGCGGATTGGTTGAAGTTAGACATTAACACCGTTGGATGCCGGCCAACTCAGAGGTCTAATTGATTAAGCGCCTGGCGCGAGACTGATAGGTCCTGGGTTCGAGTCCCGCGAGGCGGGGTCGTGGATGCGCACTGCTGATGAGTCCCACAATAGGATGAAACGGACGTCCAGTGCTTCCAGGTTTTCCATGATGGTCTAGCTTCAATTGACTCATTATCTCAACTGTTGAAATTTTCTTAAATAGTTTGATTAGTTTTTACAATTTACATAAATATACAATTATCAAGTAAATATCCTTCAGAGTTCAGTGTTAATTGATTGTTGAGGATTTTTAAGGTGTGTGCTTTATGAGCTGGATGGTTTATTCGTGATGCTCTTATTGTCCTCCTGAACAGTATTCTCATTCTGAGCTAAAGGCATTCTCCATCATTTCAAAATACTTGAGGCTTCAATTTCTTTAACTCATTTGCGATTGAAAATAAGGTAAGAAGTAGGTTTGTTGCTTTTGAAGCGAGACATGTAACTATTATTTACAGGGAAATGATTGAGTTTGTATTGATTCTGGTCATTCTTGAAATCAGGATTATTGACATTGTTATAACGAACATAACACTATTTAGTGCATAAAATTTCAGATAGGTAATCGTTTGATAGATAAATAATACCTCAGTTCACAAGCTAGTTTATATTTTGAAGCCACTGAATAAACGAAATCGATCCTCTTTTTCGCGTTCTCATCAGCTGCTAACAAATTAAGCTAGTGAATCACAGACGGATGTTTTAAACGGAACTGAAATTACGTAATAAGAGGTAATCGACATAAGATTTAGCATTCAATACAATTAATATTGACTCATGTTTATATATCGATCTAATCTTATTAAAGAAAAGCTAAACAAAAGATACAACTTAACACTTAACTTTGTTCTCAAGTCACTCATTTTTTCAGATTACTAACCTATTAATAACAAATATTTATTTATTAATTTATTTATTTATTTATTTATTTCAACACATAGATACTGGTACAAGAAGGCACCAAATACATATGCGCCACACAAATCTCATTCGATATGTGTGAGGGCTATGATACTGCCTCGGGTGCCCAAACCAAAGCAAGTGGTTTAATTAAGGGGCCACTTCCAGAGCCTTCGACCTACAGGTCTGATCCACAAGGCAGTGGAACATCGTAAGGAGATGTAGTCCCATGGAAGCCAGTGACCAACAATTGGTTCATACGCCATTTGTTCCCGCAGGAAATTGGAGCCCATGTGCACCATTGGTTTGGAATCCGGTTAAAGTGCCGGACATTCGGTTTTCGTCCTCTCAATTTCGTAAACAACAGTAATGCCACGAGAAGGCATTGAGTAGGACTTCCCTGGCAGAGGCTATATACACGTGGTCATGTGAGAGGATTTCGAGAGGGAGAGCGGACTCTGCCCACTCTCGGCCATACCAGGGCATTTGGGGGCAATAACAAATACTGTTACCTCTATATGCTATTGTATCTTTCAACTTTTCATATTAAGATTTTATTCAATAAATAAAACACGAAATAATAAAGAAATTACTGGGACTAGATGTTAAAATAAGAGTGTATCACTTTGTTTTTACAGTAATTAGCTTATCTTTTTTATAGATTATGTCATCAATCAATGATGACATCAAGAAAGTCACACAGGCAGTTATTCATGAAGCATCTGGATTAGACATTGCTAGATCTGTAAGTACCTTTATTTTATATAGTGTATTTTTGATACCAAATAAAAATATTTGGTGAACGAAATAAACCAGAACTTGTAAGACAACATTTCTCTAAGACTTCTCTGAAATAAAGAAACTGATTAATTACTAAGTATTTCATAATAACTTCTTTTCAACTACGTCATTTGGTCTTCTTATTACACTATCAAGATTTATCAAAGGGATTAATTGCTTCAAATTCAACAAAGTCGAAGAGCTATACCACAATAGTTAATAAACGAAATTTTACGATCAATAAATTGCAGATATGAACTTCATTTCATTCATTTTGTCACAGAGAACTACATCATATCATTAACCTTCATACAAAAATGGTGTACCTCCAAAGCTAAGTAACTGAATTTATGCTCAGCAAGTGGGTTACACTTTAATTTTTCTTCTCATATACAAATTCAAATTCAAATACGGTAGTGACTGAAGTGACCCACTGTATCATTTTCTGTGAAACCATTTAGTTAATCTGTATATTCGTATTTATAGTGGTGTGATAAATATTTCAGTCTGTAGAAAGGTAGAATATATTGTATCATAAAGTGATTCGAGATTTCAGATATCAAAAGTGTTATATCTTAGTGAAGATCAAATTAAGCGTAACTTTTGAGAACCATTATTAAACTAGTATTACACATATATATATTCTTATTGTATAACTATTCAGTAACTAGATTATGTATATCTGTATATTCCTCTTATTATAAGCTTCATTTTGACCTATAGACAATTATGATACGATTTACTATTCTTAAATGATACTCACTTTATTGATTACAGTCTTTCACGTTCACAGTCACTTTTTGAGTTGAACTTGTATAAATGTTATTTCCTATTTTATGGGTGATATGGTCTGTTTGGCTAGTATATAAACTAAGTATGCTTGAACCAAATGATTCTTATAGTGGAAGCTGTCATTAATGTTCTGGACTCAGTTAGACGGGCTAAGTGAACAAAGGATCAATAAGGACGCTCGGCTGCTCAGATCGGTCGAACGTCATTGGTTTGGCACACTGTTAAGGTTTTGTAAGCCTTATTTCAATTGGTGAGTAAGTCACGTGATCATTAGCCGGGCTTGAAGTCATTATCAGGGGATTAAAGAAGAGGAGGATGAAAATAATTTACGGATCAGAATTATAAGAGATAATTGTCCATTTGACCGATATGACGAAAATGAAAAACTCGTAGGTCATAATAAAGACTGAATAACATTCATGAAAAATTGTTAGAGGATAGTCGCAACTGCTTACGGTTTAAAATTCCAAAGTAATAATAAAAACAAAACAGGACCAAAATATACTGAAAAAGAGAATTTGAGCTAAGGAAGGATGAGAGGTCGGAAGTGAAACCCATTCAAAAGGAATATTATTTAAATTATTTCATTTTAGTTGAGCTCTATCTAGCTCAACACTGCCCATAAGTAGGATTATAAAACTTAAGGAAATAATATCGTAGGCAAGAAAATTCTTTTCACTGAAACTTCTTTATTCTATTCGATAAATCAATGAACTCCTTCCATTTATAATGGTTTGAATTTTCTCTAACCGTAACTTACTTACGCCTGTTACTCCTAATGGAGCATAGGCCGCCGACCAGCATTCTCCAACCCACCTGGAGTCCCTCCAGGGGCTACTGCCGGTCCCAAGCCCGGATAAAGGAGGAGGGTTGGGCATGGGGTTAGCGACTCCATTCCGTAGAAAACTAACTCGCTAAAAAAACGCTAACCATAAAAAACTATTCTAACCGTAACAGGAAGGTTCGAACCCTTACAAATATAATAAAATGCATCTTCGTTGCACAAGCACGTAGCTATCTGATCACAGTAGACCAGTGGATGATGAGCCTTGTGTTTGAATATTAAGACACCGAATCCAAGCGTTAGTGTGAGGATCAACACTAGGCTGCAAGTATATTGAACTAATGAGAAAGTGCTCATCTTGCATTCCACTGCTAGTCTCTATCAAAACTGCTTGAAAATGCTTATGACTTAGTGGCAATATTAAAGCAAAGTACTCATGATGCATGTTTGCTAAAAGAGGCTGACCAATTGTAGTCCTTGATATAAACAACGGGAAGGTTCAGACCCATAAAAACACTTACTAATTATTGTGCTATTTTTATTTTTTAATTCTGGAATTTTTTCGAGTTTCACACTGGATCTACCTTACATTTTTTCGGAGTTTGGAGACTCCATTTTCCATCTACCTCTAAACTCTAGTTCCGAGGTGATTGTAAATATATTTGTATACATGTGTTCCTTGTTTACATCAACTTTCTATAGTATCAATCTTTATTGAAAGATTCGTCTTTTGGAGTAGTTAGGGTTGGAAGAAAAATAAAGTTTGTGATATTCAGGTATCAATGTGAAGCGAGTTATTGGCAATATCTTGAGATATATGATTAAGAAATAGGTTCGAAGAAAATGCGGCTAGATAGTCATGTTACTGTTCAACTTTAGCTGTGATTTGTTGAATACTAAACTTAAAATTCAATTAGCGCTATCTTCTCTCGATATTTTGCCTATATTTTTCGCAATAGGCATTCGAAGATTGGATCAATGATTCCCCGGGAGAAAAATATTTACGACATTTACCTGGTGTTGCATTTGATTCCAAACAATTATTCTACTTGATATATGCACAAGTAAGTAATCATAAAAATGTAAATTTGTGCAATTGATTCAATTCTTCTACATAAAACTGAAGACAATGTTATTCTCCAAAAAAACCTGTAAACATTCATATAATATTGTTGAATTAACGTTATTATTAGTAGTACATGTTATATTTTGTTAGTCATAAGTCATCAGTCAAGAAGTTCCCAAAGAGTAATCAGTTATATGACTGCAGAATATCGAAACAAAACCATTCAGTCAGTAATAACACCGGCCTTGATGCAAGTTTTGATCAGTTAAATTAGACACATCAAGATAACGAAAGGAAATTTACAAAGTCAAGATTAAATATGTTGAAATAACAGAAATGTCAATAATGATGATGACTACTGCTGACTTATTCAACTAATATATAAGATCTATGAAATAATAATTCAAACCACTGATAATAGCATGCCAAAATGGCATAAAGCCAGTTCCTATTTTCACTTCCCAGTACTTCTATACTATGATAATACACTTTCACAATATTCTTGTCTAAGTTTTCTGTTGGGTAACATGACATGAATGATAAACTTTTAATAATTTTGTGATTTGATTTGTGGAGATGATTGAATTTCCATGGTTTATATAACGGACTGGTCTTGATCTGACAAACATTAAAAAACCGGAAAGCTCTGAACAGCTCCTTGATTCTAGCATGGAATTTCTCATTGGAATGCATTCACAAATCAAGAGGAGATCGAACCCAGAAGCGTCCAACCTCCAGACCACTGACCCTACATCAAATGTCATGCACATCTAATCTTAATCAATTTGCAATATTGTGAGACCGTCTCTTAACCCAATCGATATCATGGATGCCCATTGTTGAGGGGTTCCATACTAAAACGAGAGAGATGCTCAATGTTGATCTAACTAAAAACAGCCCACAATGCAATCTATGAAGATTATGTGGTAGCTTACTTACTGACGCCTGTGACTCCTAATGGAGCAAAGGCCGCCGACCAGCATTCTACAACCCACTCCGTCCTCCGCCTTCTTTTCTAGTTCCATCCAATTCTCGTTCATTCTTCTCATGTCTATCTCCATTTCCCGGCGCAATGTGTTCCTGGTCTTCATCGTTTCCTTTGCTTAGCCTCGAAGATTCCATGTGAGAGCTTGTCTTGTGACACAGTTCGGTGCTTTCCTCAATGTGTGTCCTATCCACTTCTAGCGCTTCTTCCTGATTTCTTCCTCCGCTGGGATCTGGTTTGTTCTTTCCCACAGTACGTTGTTGCTAATAGTGTCCGGCCAACGGATCTGAAGTATTTTGCGTAGACAACTGTTAATAAGCACCTGTATTTTCTGGATGATGGTTTTCGTTGTTCTCCAGGTTTCTGCCCCATACAGTAGAACTGTCTTGACATTTGTATTGAAAATATGTGGTAGCTTAGAAAATATTAAACATTTATTCCCTTTATCAACAGTTTATGATGAAATATTTGAATAATATTCAACACTTTTTTATTTGTCTTCCCAGACATTTTGTCATGATATGGATTTATGGGATGAATATTATCAAATGATTACAAGAACACCCCAACCACCTTATGAAGTTTTGTAAGTAGTGTATATTTTAAAACAATCAAAGTATCAATTTTATGAAAGTTAGACGTAAGAATGGGGAGAGGACTGTTGTAGTGTTCTCATGTAATCATAAATTGAATTATTATCAGTTCAAATATCTTAACAACTGATTGGTAGATCTTTCTTGAAAACAGAAACGGTTCATTTCTAATGTAAGTTCAATTTTGAAAAATAGTCCGTTTTGGTGATAATCGGTCACAGTAAAGTTAGTTGACCTAAAGCGAGCCCCAATGAAAACAGATATACCTGGAAGTTGTGGTTCGTGGAGCTGTGTAATCACCTAATAAATTACAACTTCATATTTTAAGCGACAATTAAAAGATACGGCGTATATCGAGTACTGGAAATACAGGTTTGGAGATTTGTCCGGCTGACAAATAACTAACAGAAAGAACTATATATACTTAAGTTTACAAACCAACCTTAACTTTCTCTCCATCTGCTTCTATGATGGCCAGTACTCTAAGTCAAAATAGACGGTGACTGGATATGCACCTCATAAATCTAGTAATTTTAGTCGATGAAAGTGCACAACTGTACACTATGGAAACAGTTCAACATAAAAATTGATATTAAGTATATTAGCTCATTCATATTAACCATTTGCATAATCGCTCGACTGATTAATTAACATCAGTTATAAGCTTGATTGTACTCATAGTCGAAGTTAATTGGAAAGTATATTTAAATGATAAACCTAAATACATTCAAAAGAACTCACCCATTATTGACGTACACCTAAACGTTATGACAAAAACTATTACCAAATGCCATAATTTTGTAATAATGAAATTGCATAGAAATGGAAATCAGAAATAATGATACATTTTGCAATATAAGATTAAAGTAACATAAACATTTGGAAATAAAAAGTTTCATAATAAGTTTTAAAGTAAAATCAGTAAAACAATATGAAAAGCTGTCAGGGTCAACTAGAGAGATATATGAAACACAACGACAGAATTTGAAAGATAAGAAACCAGGCAGTTTGACACTTCAGCTCTACTTTTCCCATTGTTTAAATGTATAAAGAAAACTTAGTTCGGGGTTATTTGTTTGTTCAACTTAAATCCCTTTTTTGTAGATCCAGTAGTTTTGCTTGTCAAACGTTTTCCAGTTACCACTACACAAGTTTTATGTTTAGTGTAATAAGAACTTGTAGTGTGGCGTCGAGTCGCGGTTGACTATGATCACCACTACAGGAAGACTACGTGCCAGTTAACAGGTTAGATTCCCCCTTACACCAAATATCAGAAGGCAGTTGATGGCTGTAGTCGAGATGTATTTGTTGGCAATCTCGTGATATCGAAAGAATACCGAGATCGTGCCACATTACAAGTGTGGTTCCTGAGCGTAACCGAATTCGTACAAGGTCACAATCAACGGAAGGAAGAATGTCTTTAGTACAGTTAAACGAACAAGTACTGTAAAACAATCCCTGGTACAATTGGTTATAATAATAATTGTTTCCATTACATCAATTGCGTTCTCTTGACAAAAGTAGGTCAGTACAAACTCATGATATGTAACATCAGTGATCAGAAAGTGTAGAACATTTTCATTGATTTTTTCCCAAGAAATTCACAAATGGATCACTGGTTTATTTAGAGCTACGACTGAACAGTCACAACACCGATATATCATTGAGTATTGTGCAAAACCAGTATACTCAAGAAGGTAAATGAAATTATCACGAAAACTAGTATAATTCTCCGTAATATGGTAAAATTGTTTAGTGAAAGATCACCAGTGAGCAAATGATTTTACAAGCGAGGTCGTATCACTAAGTATTACGGAATGAGGATTCCGCATGACTTCAATCAAAATAATGAAACGACCATTAAATTTTGGACAGTTAATTCTACGAACTCTCATATCGTTTAGAACTTATTAGATAGGATATATCCAAATTAATTTGCAGGTTATGTTTACGTGTTACTGATTAGCGATTCCTTATTATTAACTGTGTGTAGTTTGGCAATAAAACCTAACTTTCATCAATATTATCAGAATAGGTTTTGCGGAGATTTTTAGAAATTTCAGTTGTTGAAATCATGAGTCAATTGAAGCTAGACCATCATGGAAAACCTGGGAGCACTGGACAGCCGTTTCGTCCTAGTATGGGACTCCTCAGCAGTGCGCACCCACGATCCCGCACCCCGCGAGATTCGAACCCAGGACCTATCAATCTCGCGCCAGGCGCTTAACCAACTAGACCACTGAGTCGGCATCCATTGGTGTTAATATCTAACTTCGACCAATCCACGAAGTTGCGCCACCGTACACCATTATCTTCAGTGAGTTCCTATTTCACAACAGACCTGGTTGAGCTCCACTGGTAATGACTTCTCATTAGAACTCCAGGAGTATCTCCTGAAGTCAGTCACCATTGAGCAGGTGATTATTATTATCAGAATGGGTTTTGTGGAGATTTTTAGAAATTTCAGTTATCAATATGAATGTAATAAACATTAAATTAAATAACATAAGCAATCATCTAATATTTGCCTTTCTCTAATTAATTTTCCTGATTTGATAGAGTCAATCATATAATGAATGAGCTACCCGATTTCTCTGATACCTTTAATTGTCCAGTTGGAACACTGATGAATCCTAAAAAACGTTGTCGTGCAGCGCTCTAGTGGTATTTATCGATGAATCTATTTTTCACATAAAACAATTCTTGTTCTGTTTTTTAATTCATACACACAAGGTTTTATGTTATAGTATCCATTCAAACTGAAAACGATTTGTATATCTACACATGATCCAAATGAAATGGTAATTCAATCTGATTACTTTAAACTCTATTCACCAGAAATTGTTTACATAGACTTGTATTGATGAAATTTCTCTCCTTGTAATTTTATAAACATTCGTACTTTTCTTTTTAATATTATCTTATAATTAACAAGAAGGGGGCTCCATAAGATGTTTAGATACTTGATTTACCGACAATATTTCACAGATCATAGCTTACCAAGCCCAATTCTTTTGTTTATTTTATAAAGTGAAAATATAATGCATCAAGTTGAAAATTTGAGTCGAGCTATATGAAATAGCAAACTATTTTAGTGATCCGTGAATATCTGACTCCAATTTGATCGTGTGATTATCATCATCGTCTTACACAAGTTGCCAAGCTTCGCATATAATTATCGACTTAACTCGCGTTAGCAAATAACAGAATTAAGTCAAATACGAGAATGCAGTTTTGAATAAGTATATTTTGAACAATCGTTGATCAGAACAGACAATCAGAGGGGAGATGGAGTGAAGGAAGCGAAGAGAAACGGATTGGAGAAAGCATGTGAGCCAAATCACTTTAATTAAGTGTTACTCAATATTCATAGTCAGACAAAAATAAGTTAGACATGTGATGAGTAAGATGAGAAATGTACACACACGCTCACATAAAAAGTCAAGTTGACAGGCAAATAGTTAGTAAGGTCAAAATGTGTCTCAAAAAGGATGAATAAATTGGTCTGTCCGGAAGGTAGAATAAGCTGTGTAGGCTTGACACAGAAACTGACACCACACTTTCATAAAATCACGTCATAGAGTGAAATTAATTGGAGAAATGATTGAAATCTATAGAGGCATTGGACAATCGTTTTGTTCATTTTAGACTCCTCAGTGGCATATATCTACGACTCCACACAGGACTGAAGAAAGAATCTTGAGATCACATAATATGCATCAAGCATTTAAACTGATGAGTCTGAATTGAATGGACCACATAAATGGCCTACTTATAAAAATTAGACGAGTAACAACACGTTTCGTGAAATACAGTGAAATAATTGTGCACGCTACCGTGTACTAGACATTGAAGAAATTCAGTTTATCGTTAAATCAGAACATCCGAAATGAAATTCGAATACATAACAGTCAAAAGGTTTAAAGACCGCACACAGGAAAGTAGTCAAGACACAAATCTAGCCACCATATTGCCATTTATCAGGACCACCGGGTGTTGAGTTCACTTCAAGTCAAATGACACTGTTGATTTTCGTTTTATGCGTTATGCTCGGTAAGTATACTGACGCTGATTAGCCCACAGAAATTATTTCTGCCCTCAACCTGCTTAATCATAAAACTAAGAAAACCAGCCGACTTTCTTCGATTATTGTTTTGTTACGACTAAAAAAGTAATAATAAAGATCGACCGCAGGATCACAAACTCGCCATAGGTAGAAAATGACTAGGTCATTTCTAAAAGAAACCTAAGTAACAGGCACATAATTAGATGTAATTTGTAGCTACTAAAACATAAATCGACAGTTAGTGAGTTGTTTTAAAGCCTGCAGTGTGAGAGTATTAAGAGGTAACTTCTAATGTAAGATAAAAATGAATGATGACATAGTTAAGTAGAAATACTAATGAGTATTCATCGTCAGGGTATAGCAAACTTTGGGGTTCGATTTTATCTCCTAACAGAAATGGCCTCTAAGAAGCAGAGTGCAGAACAGTCATATTGCCGAAGGATTACTGTTAAGGCACACACGACATCTAATTTATGAGTAAGACCAAATCGATTATGAATGTTTACAATATTGATATTACATGGTTCACTCAGACAAATACATTTCTGGGCATACTGTGCAGAGTTTACTTTGATCAAAGCATTTTCAAGTATTGACAAAATACCACTCCAAGTTTTTTTAATTAATTAGCACCTTTCCATCTTACTATAGAACACCATTTTAGCAAATAAAAACTGACTATAAATAAGATTTAATATTGGTTTTCGAGTATCTTCGTAACAAATGTTAAGTTGTGCAATCACCCTCCTTATGTAAACACCACGATTTCCCTACCAACATCTTTACTAAACTGAGTTTAGTGTATTCAACAAGACTACTACTTATTGTTTTTAGAGTTTACGAATGGACGATGAACTTTACAACGTTGAAGTAGGTTAGCATTTTAATTGTCATATATTAACTGACATATTACCAAGGAGAAAGTAAGTACGATAAGTTGATGAAAACGCCCAATTCAAGTGAACTCTAATAATTGAATTAAACATTAAGCCGGATAGTATAAAGGCGAAAATTCCCGTTTTCAACTTATATATCATGAATCAAATAGCCCCAATGAACTTGAATGTGAACTGGTATCCTCGGTAACAGGTGTAATCGTTAGTTGATTTCTAATCATGTAACTGCCTAACATTACTCTTTTTGCTTGACAGTAAACGAATTATATTTTACCAGTATTTAGAACATAATTTTTATCATCAAACATTTTAATGTAAATAAATTACCAAGTACATGCTTATGTGATAAGTCTTTAGATTTGAAATGAGCCACAAACTCAGTTTAAAATACCCAGTGTACAGATGAAATAAATCGGTAATATAAAACTAATATTGGAAAAATAAACTTCGTTCATATAATTGTGTTTTAATATAATGGGGATTTTTCATTGATTAATATAAAACTGTTATGTTGCTTCATTAACGTTTACTGGATAATAACCAGTGACCAAATAGTTAACATAATACAACACTGATTAGTCGAAGGATTGTCAATTTAGTAGCGTTCACCTTTCAGGCGTAGAATCGAAATCCTGAGACTCCAAACAATCCTGAGCATCTGTTTGTATATTTAATTTGGTTCATGATACCTTAGTATTTTCACAATTAAAAACCCATATTCCAGTCACTTACTATTTTGGAAGCTTTTGTCATTCATAGATTACAGTTAAACGACTAAATACATTACCCAAATTTGTATTGCAGATGTCCCCGTAATGTACCTACTGAGATTTATTATTCGTGTTACGTTTATAATCAAGAAAAAACGGGGTAACATATTTTATATTATATGCATAACACCTGAATTATTAAACTCACTGTTTTTGGGTGCGTGAGCAAGTCAGAACAACACCCCTGAAGTTACTACAAGAGTCTACGATCACCCAAAATCAAATAGATAATCATCATAAAGAACATAGGACATAGGTATATCAGTCCAATCTACTGTTATCTCGTATAGTTCAAACAAACTATCTTGTTCAACTTCTCATTACCTAATGGAGCAACGTCCTACCTATCACTACTTATGTAGCATTAGTACGGTTTACAAGCACGTAGTTATGGTGTTGTAGGTGTCATTACCAAGGTTTGATTTGATAATTTCGAATAAATTGAGCATTGGGTTGATTGTTATAAATAAAAATAATATATTTGTAATATCCCAATGAGTAGAAAATTGGATTTTTCTGACGTTTCGTGGCTTAGTGTAAGTCACTTCTTCAGAGTAAATAAATAACCAAATTTAATTTGGTTATTTATTTACTCTGAAGAAGTGACTTACACTAAGCCACGAAACGTCAGAAAAATCCAATTTTCTACTCATTGGGATATTACAAATATATTATTTTTATTTATGGTGTTGTAGGTTCAGCATTTGAGGGGTAATTGTAATTTGGCAAGAAATGTGACAGCGAACAAGAAGTTAATGTAAAAATACCCCTCCTAGTTATTGTGTCATATATGTATTGAATGTTATACAAACAGATAACTGATAAATATTACAGACTGACGAAAACGAAGCATCACTATAAACGCTTAGGTCTGTAAACAAGTAAATCACACAAAAGAACAATGTAAATCATTTTTCGGAACAAAATTTACTCTCTAAATAATGAAACAGAAGGATGAAGCGCAATAACTTTAGCTAAGAATGTGTATATTCACCACTGTCAAAAATAAGAACCCAAACAATTAATCATCGCGAATTTGAAAATCAATACACCGCTCCTTAACTATTCTGCTTATCCTCATCTTCTTTTTCATCTTTTTTTGAACTTCTCTGTGACTGGGACTTAGTTAGAGCATCTATAGCCTTGCGAACATCTTCATTCTGAGTATCCACACCAGGCAAACTTTGTAAAACCGATTCCAAAAACTCAGCATCGTACATAACGTCCAAGTCAGCAGATGTAGGGACAGTTGACGAGTTGAAAGCTGATGTTGCAGCTGCCAATGTACCGGGATTAGGAGATAATTTCGGATTTTCAGTGACTTTAGTTGGAGTCTGATCTATGTCCATAGCCACACCAGAGGGTTCAACAATAGTCTGTTGAAAGTGAGACATTGTAGAGCAATGATGAAAATTCAAAGAAATATAACCACACTAAAATAAACTAGATTGTTAACAAAAACTCAGACTGTTTATTTAAGCCTTTCTGATTAGTCCGCAGAAATACAACAATAAGCGAGTTATTCATAACCAATGTAGGATCTAACGTATATGGGTCTGCTCAAGACACACCACATTAGCACCGCAGGATAAGACTGCTAGATCCAAGAGTAGTAACAGTAGAAAAAGAAACAGGGTATACAATTTCGAGATTCAGTAGTGAATGGACCTGCGCCATTATGGACAATTTTGAGCCGTATAATTTAAAGTCTCTAACTATTGGTACAATAATCACACAGACCCTAAGTGGGCAATCTAATCGCCAGTTAATTCATAGACCGATGCCATGGTGTCGTTTGACCGCCCATAACTTTCCCCAAGCCTACTCCTGCACCAGAAGACATCCCCGTCGAGGTAAGTGGTGGTTGAGCATACGTAACACATATCCCAACCACCTCAATTATTTATTTATTTATTTATTTGAACACATAAATATTGGTACAAGAGAGCGCCAATATATATGCGCCACACAAAACAATGAGAATTCGAAGAGAAATAGAAGAAAAAAAGAGAACAATAACGAAGAGATTGGTGTAAGGTAGTGTGGTAGTAATGAGGGAACGAAAAGGTACAATCAGAAGAAATCTTTCAGGTAAAAGAGACACAACCACTTTTTATGAAGAAAGTAAAAGAAGGTTACAGCAGGATCGCCACTGGCTTCTATTCTGAGCCATATCTGATAACGTCTCTAAGCAAATGTGTTGCACCATCTCTCAGACCCCAACCAGGAAGTCGTGAAGGACCGACAGAAGCCAGTCCTTTGTAGCTTTCTTTCATGCCACGACACCATGTCATACACTGACCACCTCTCCGCTTCTTCCAATCAGTCCCAGAGTCGGCAAATGATGCACGACGTGGAATTCTCTGGGACGATATTCGTAGAACATGTCCAAGCCACCGAAGTCGGTGTTTCAAGATGGTCACACCAATTGAATTATCATCTCTGTGCCCGAACACACGATACCGAACCTCTGCATTACTGGCATGGTGTTGCCACTGAATGTCAGCAATCCTTCGGAGACAGCGATGATCGAACACAGAGAGTCGTCTAACGTCCTCAACTCGGAGAGGCCAGGTTTCACAAGCATAGAGCAAAACTGCTCTCACCGACGCGTTGTAGATCCGACCTTTTACAGCCAGACTAACATCACGAAGGCGTCAAAGATGGCCCAGATTGACATAAGCCGCTCTAGCTTTTATTATATGTCAATCGATCTCACCACCAGCACTTATGCAGCCACCCAGATACACGAACATCTCGACTACATCTATCTGCTCAACATCCAGGGTGAGTACAGGATTAGAATCATGTCAGTCTTGTAGAAGCACTGTGCACTTCGAAGGTTCAAAGCACATACCGTACCTACGGACACTGATTGCCAACTGATTAAGTGCGGATTGCATGCCTTGGGCATTATCGCACAGTAATACAATATCGTCCGCATACTCAAGGTCGAGAAGTCTTTCTCCAGGTAACAGATCCACACCACCATTACTTACATCCATCAGAGCTGTTTCCAGAATGTCATCGATGGCAAAGTTGAAGAGGAATGGTGAGATTGGGCAACCCTGCCTAACCCCACTGCTCGAATGGAACAATGGAGAGAGGTGGTTGTATGCCCTCACTCTGCCTGAGGTGTTTTTATACAGGGCTTTTAGGATGTTAATAAACTTCTCAGGCACACCCTTCTTCAATAGACAATCCCAGAGAACAGTTCTGTCCAACGAATCGAAGGCAGCCCTGATGTCAAGAAACACTACGATTGTTGGCCTTTGATAAGTATGGCGGTGTTCTAACACTTAGCGGAGGGTGAAGATATGATCAATACATCCTCGACCAGAACGAAACCCAGCCTGCTCCTCGCGAGTCAATCTTTCTCGGGTTTTGAACAACCTACGAAGAATGACGGAAGCCAATAGCTTGGACGCAATCGGAAGTAGACTTATCCCCCGATAGTTGTTACAGGAACGACGTGAACCCTTTTTAAAGATAGGGACAACTATCGACTCATTCTATGACGTTGGAACACTCTCGAGCTCCCACACCTTTGTAAACAACGTCGTCAGTCCCCTAGTCAGAAAGTCACCACCATCTTTGAAAAGAGCCGGAGGTAAGTCATCTGGGCCAGATGATTTGTAACGCTTCAAGGGTTGGAGTTCCTTGAGGACTTCCTCCTCATTTGGTGGATCAGTCGTCACCGGCCATGGAGGGCAGGACAGTCTGACTGATGTTGCCGGAGCAGCAGGCCAGTTGACCTGCCCTTCGAAAAATTCAGCCCATCGTCCAAGACGTCGATGGATGTTAGTGATTGGCATCCCATCATCCTCGCAGATTGTTTCACTCACACCAGACTTATTGCTGCCAGTGGCTCGGATGAGTTGGAAGAGCTTCCGGTAGTTACCAGATGCAGCTGCTGCTTCCAGCTCATTAGCACGCTTCGACCACCAGGCTTCTCGGTCCTTACGCAACTTTTGCCCAACTTCCTTACGTAACATCCTTCGTTTATGGTCAAAGTCACGGTCACTTGGAGTAGACCGACGGGCTTCAATGAGTTATAAGGAACCTGCAGAAACCCAGTGCTTATAAGCTGGACGTTTCGCGAACCCACAACTGACTGTTCCCGCCATTTTCATGGCGTCATGCAATTGCAACCAATGCTCATCTATACTTTTCGGTGGAGTGGTAGCTAGCCTAGAGGCTAGCTCGGTTCGATACTTACTTGCAACAGAAGTTGCAACCAGCTTGCTAATATCAATCCGTTGATGGCGGTCACTTCGTTGTCCACTGAAAAGTAAGGCAAGATTGGCGCAGACCAAGGCATGGTCAGAGTCCAGATAGGTACTCCAAAAGGAGCGGCAGTCTTGTGCACAACCACGCCAGCGGTAGCTGATCGCGAAGTGATCAATCTGAGTCCAGGCTTGAGATGCAGAGGGAGGACGCCAGGTGGCACATCGGCGATGACTGTGCCGAAAGTTAGTGCTAGCCAGAAACAGGTTGTGGTCTGTGCAAAGTTGCAGTAGACGGTCCCCGTTATCTGACCTGCGACCAACGAGTCCCCATCGGCCACCTAAACGACTCTCTTCTGTGCCTAGACACCCGACCTGAGCATTCAAGTCTCCGGCTAGTAACGTTTTATGAACTCGAATCATTAGCACTGGTGGCGCGTGGTGATCAAGATATACGAGGAGGGTTAGTTGTGGGGATGGGAGAATTATTAAGAGGTGAGGGAAGGGTTCAGTCTTCAGTAAGATGGTCTCGGGTGCCAATAGTTCTGAGTGTGATAATCACTTCCCGATTTTCCACACCGTCGAAGAATATTACTTTATAGGGGACCTGTAGAAGTCGAATTAGTAAGTTTTAGCGATCTAGGAGAGTGACCCCGGACTCCATGAGACAACCACTTGAAACCGGTGGCCCACGGTCTTTTATGGGAAGCTTTTGATGTGTTAGCTTATTATTTTAGGTTTTAGCGCTAGAGACGGAAACCCATGAGGTAAGGTGAGGTGTAAAATTTCTGTAGTCGATTTTTTCTAACCTCTCCCGGTGTGAGACAGCATCGCTGCAGATGCAGACTGTCTGATGCAAACACTCTACTGCTATCACACTCCACTAAAGTCAGTAGTACGACTTTGCTGTCGGACCTCGGGCATGGTTATCGTGATAACTTAATTGAGCTATATTGGTTAGGCTATCAAATCAACTGGCTTATCGCTGTTAGCTGGCACTTTACGCCCTGAATAAGGGATACCCACCTGCTGGTAATAATTTGTAGACACTGGCAAACTAATATTACGAAAATGACTGATTTTCTATTTTTGGTAATGGGTGACGAAATTACATTAATCAGGAGTCTATTGAGTGATGAGATTCCAAGAGTCATTTAATTCGGTTTGGGCGACTGGGTAGTGATACTGAATAAAGTGTAGTACAAAGCCCAGTACACAAATATTTACTTGATAAGTTGCATCACATCAAATTTAATGGATAGACGCTAAAGAGCCAACAATATTTTTTGTTTGAGTAGATTAAGATGTTCCCAAATCACTTGCCGACATATTACGTCAATATTGTTAATTTACAGGAAGTCGCTTGTGCACATGATTCCAACAGAATTTATGAAGTAGTCCCTAATCAATTGGATGAAGTTACTTCTCGAGGGAATATCTGCGACAAAGTTCAATAGAAATGGGGAGAATGGGTATTCTTGACATTAGTCGTTTGACATACTCGCACCAAATGGTAGCTTGTTGTTAGTTTTGGCCCGAGTACAGAGAAGTGAGGTTTGGTTACTTATCCTTTTCAGTGAGACATTATTACCGGACAGTGCCTAATTTATTTATTTAAACACACAAACATTGGTACAAGGATGCACCAAATAGATATGCGCCACATAAATCATTCGATTTGTGAGGATTGGGATACTGCTCGGGTGCCCAAACCCAAACAAGTGGTTTTCTTAGGGGGGTACACCTGGAGCCTGTGACCTAAAGGTCTAACCCACAAGGCAGTGGAGCAACGTCAGGAGATGCAGTCCCATGGTATCCGGTGATCAATAATTGGTCCATACGCCATTCGTTCCCTCAGGATCCTGAAGCCCATGTGCGCGATTGGTTTAGAGTCAGGGTTTTCCAACTTCCCTAAGTAGATCCTCCATATCCACCAACCCCGTTAAAGAGCCGGACATTCACTTCCCATCCTCTCATTTTCGTAAAAAACACCGCCGCTACGAGAAGGCAGTGAATAGGACTTCTCTAGTAGTGGTTGTATGCACGTGACCAAGTGAGAGCATTTTGAGAGGGACAGCTGACTCCCCCCACTCTCGGCCGTATCAGAGCATTTGGAGGCCAGTGCTTAATAGCTGAATTCCGTTTTTATGGCAAGTAATATGGCTGTGATTCATGCATACATAAAATTGCCTTTGAGATGGTGGAGATTTATAGCTCAGGTGGATGATTTGGGTAAAGTTTTGTTCTCTGAGGCGGATGGTTTGGTCGCGGACCTTCCATCAGCAGCACAAACTTCAGGTAGAAGTTAAGTGTTCTAATGTCCCCTCATATAGCTAACAGCTTGTCCTGTAGACATCGGTGCTGATTGGTTACTGTCATTGTTTACTTCATTATTTTGGCTGTATCTCCCATGGGTTTCATTTTTGGTCCTATATTTGCCTATAATTTTCTGATTGGTTGATAAATTGGATCGATTTCAATGTGTACGTTGGTTGCTTATTGGCCTGAGTGCCAAGCTTCTAAAAATTCTCTGGTTTTTAGAACTGCATCTATCAAGATCTCAACATTTTTACAGTCGAAGGTGTCCACATGAATTGATATAAGTGAGGATATGTCATGGCGTTTGACCGCTAGTTGATGTTCATGCGGGCAAAGATGAAGAGGTAGTCTGCTTTGTCCGATGTAGTGTTTTTCGTAGTTGGAACAATTTATTTTGTAGATGATGTTCGGTTTTTCTTTTGTCATTTCGTCTTTTGGTTTGCATAGGATTGATCGCAGTGATTTTGTTGGTTTGTATGCAACACCTATTCCGAAGAGTTTCAGCAATCTCGTTGTAGTTTCTGATATGCTTTTTAAATATGTTAGTTTATACTGATTATGTCGTTCGGAATAACGATGAAAGCTCCACGACTAAACTATCCACCTCAGAGAACAAAACCACCAAAATAAAGTTGCTTTTTACCCTAGATTATAAACCAACAAGGAAATAAGTGAAATCTTTTGACAAATTTCAAACTATCTTATGACTTATTGATATGATGGAAAGAAAAGTCCATTTTCGATTGATTTACTCATTATGAGTTTGGTTCAACATTACTTCCGTTTTGATTCAATGTAATGATTACCCAATGCAGTATTTCTTTTCTTTTCTTGTATGATATTTTATCCTGTATAATATACGATATTCTTGTATTCCATTGACATGAACTATGCTCAGTATGTGCTTTCCTATAACTCGAAGTATTTTTCATATATGAGATTTCATCCTAATTACTAATCAAAATGGGTGTACGATCAATATATGAGTGTATTTTCTACCAGATTCGTCGTCGTCGTGTTTTGGGGTTAACAAATCATCACTTATACCAGTTTTTTGTTCTTACTTTCGCGTCGTGGAAACTGCAGAGGTCCCTCGTTCCGAGTATAAGTGATAAGCGTTTCCGACATAACAATCAGTGACGACCAGATACAAAAAGTAGCATTAAAAGAATCAAGACAGTATGCATTCAAACGACAAGTTATAACACTTATGCTACTGATAAAACGGCGTCACTCAGTTGTTTATGCAATATTAATTGAATACATTAATCCGATTTAAGCTAAGCTCGAAAGCTCATTAAACCACAAAACCTCCAGTCACTGAGTAACAGTTGGGGTCACACTGTATGTACCTTACTAGAAACGCGTAGCACCACTAGAATCTAGAGGAAATGAATGTGAAGCTGAAATACAAGGATTTGTGATGTGTTCATTATCAGTCAGTCAGTCAGCTACAACGTAGGACCAGGCACATATGTGCATCGGTCCAGGTTGCCATACCGCATCAGCACAACAAGATGAACACCGGATTCATAGCAGTGGTTAGGTCAAAGGTGGTAATATATAAGAGAAAGATTGCATATAGAGATATAGTACAAGAAGAAAGAATTGGTTCGTAGAAAGAAAGATATGAAGCGATTTTAATCTCTTAGGTTAAGGGAAGACAGCAAGTGTATACACCGACGCCATTGTGACCGATTCTGAGCCATGTCACCAAGAGTCTCCAACCATTGGTTACGATAGTCACGCGGACCCCAACCAAGTAGTCTGCATCTACCAACATGGCTCAGACTACAAGTTAGTGACTTCAAGCACTGATGCCACGTTTTGGTTTGGCCACCCCTAACCTTCTTCTAACCATCTCCAACACCAGTTGGCATTGCACGTCGTGGTAATCGGTGTTCAGGCATACGTAACACGTGGCCCAACCATCTCAGTCGATGAAGATTCATAACCTTATCAACTGATTTACCATCATTTCCTAATACCCTGCGTCTAACCTCACTATTACTTACCCGGTGATCCCAGCAGACGCCAGCAATATTTCTAAGGCATCTGTGGTCAAATACTAATAGCTTACGAGTGTCTTCTACTCTTAATGGCCATGTTTCGCAGCCGTAAATTAAAACAGAACGGACTGCCGCGCAGTATACTCGTCCTTTAATTGATAGACGAATATCTCGCCTTCGCCACAGGTGACGTAAGTTGGCAAAAGCCAAACGAGCTTTTCGAATCCGTGCTGAGATTTCGCCAGACACAGACCCATTAGTGCTGATCAGACTTCCAAGATAAGTGAAGTTGTTAACGCGTTCGACCACTTCACTCCCTATCCTAAGTTCAGGTGTTAACGCAGATCAGTCCTGAAGCAACAACTTGCATTTAGAGGGAGAGAAGCGCATTCCAAACATCCTGGCATTGTTGCTCAGTGCTACCAGAAGACTCTGTATTTTGTCAGCGTCTTCTCCAAACAGGACTATGTCATCTGCGTATTCTAAGTCGATAAGTGGACCTCCTGGAAGGAGATCAATACCCGAGAACTCAGTCGACGAGAAAGTTATTTCCATCAGTAGATCTATGATGAAGTTAAACAAAAATGGGGAAAGTGGACAGCCTTGACGGACACCACTTGAGGTTGCAAAAGTAGATGACAGTTCGCCATAAGCTCTGACTCGACTAGTAGTGTTCGAGTAAAAAGCCTTTACAAGGTTTATGTACTTCTGGGGTACGCCTTTCAATGACAGACACTGACACAGAATCTCGCGGTCTACCGAGTCAAATGCTGCTTTTAAGTCGAGAAAGACCACCATTGTCGGACGTCGATAAGTATGCCTGTGTTCTAGAATCTGACGAATGGTGAATATGTGGTCGATGCAGCCACGACCAGGTCTAAAGCCAGCTTGGTTCTCTCGTGTTTGCAGTTCACGAGTCTTAGTTAGGCGTCATTATATGCTATTTAAACATACAAAAACAATAAACTAACCTGGTTGGACTCCAATGTAGTGGTAGTAGGTTGAGTCGTTTCCTCCCCCATCTGTTGTAAAGACATGCGCAGTGCGTATGCTATCTGATCTTCTTCTGACATAGCTGCCAGGTCGATATCCATAGGCAAGGATGAAGATTCGGTATTATTCATTCGCATTGACATAGCCAAAGCCTGCTGAAGCATAGCTTCTTCGGATGTTCCTGACCCAGCTGGTAAAACATAAGCAAACTAAAATTCAAGACCAGATTACAAAAAGTGAGGTGAAGCAATGTGGAGTCCAAAGCGACGTCGACGGTCTACATTTAGACCTTAAGATGAAAATAATAGGATCACACAAAAAATATTTTGCAAAAAGTATTTCTGTTGAATTACACCTTTCTTGATTATTAGTTTATTTGCTGCTTCAGTCTTACTTAAAATAAGATAGCGTTAATATTCCAGTCGATTGGTTAGGGTGCATTTACATCGCCAGGTAAATAAAAAATTCCACAATAGACAGGCAATACACTTCTAGCTAATGCAAGTAAGTGGAAGCGTTTTTATGTGCAGAACACAAGTTAGTAGATTCTAGTTATACGGTAGACAAATAGGAAAAAACGGTGTGAACAGTAATGGGATCATTTTTAAATAACTAGGGAAATGGACACACTTCAATGAAACCAACATTCCCTTGGGATACTTTCTGGACCCTACCCATGAAGATTTATCTGTAAAACAAAACGCATTTTTTAATTACCTGGTAACGATGTTGCTACGACTGAAGTATTACTACCATCTCCATTAACCTCATGTTCTTGACGCATGCGCTGGTCTTCCATTGATACTCTGAGGGCATAGAGTAGATCAGGATCCTCTGCCCCATCTAATCCAAACTCCAAGCCTAACCCAGCACCAGCCATCCCAGAACCATCCTCACCAGCAACAACGGGGCTGGTCATCAAAGTATCATGTAAGACTGTCCCCGGGGCAACAGATATGAGGTGAGAACCTGTCCCATCCTTTCCATTCAGTGTGTCGATGAATTCTGATAACTTTTGCTCATTTGTTTCATTCTCACCAAAATTAATAATATCGACATTAACTTTCTCTTTTTTGAGACGCTTGGCAAGCCTAGTTAACTAAACACATATGTTGTCAGTCTAAGGAATGACCTCACTTCTTTTTCATCCTCTAATATAGGACTACCGATGAAACATACGATTCTCATTTTCTGGTGTCTCAATTGACGATGACGAAGTGCGAGGTGGGCTATCCTTATTGATGAGCAGAAGATAATGCTGCCTTTTGGCTCCACAAGGTGTAGACGATTGTATATCTTACTCACATCATTTGTTAGCGTACAGAGTACCTCGGTATTTGCAAGGGACAACAAACCAATGGTATTCTCTGGATTGCGTTGGCGTTTGCTCTGGCAGATCAAACCAACAGCATCATTTTGCGCCTGCAGACGTGTTGGGAAGAAGTCCCCATTTCGCATGTAATCACTATTATCAACTCTGAATTTCGAAAATATTAAATAAAGAGAGCCAATTTACGCTATGATCGTAGCTTCTTGAGACATTAGACAGACAATCTAAACTTGGCTCTTTGAATTCAATCCCCAATGTCTGCGTTCAATCACGACTGTAAAAAAGTAACTAAACAACGCCAAAAATAAAATTTACTAAACTTAAGAGCTGTAACACTGTAAAGCATCAACAACAAAATGGTTATTAACTTTGACAAACTCATTAAATGTCTTGTAAAAGTCACTTTTTACCACGGTGCATTACTTCGAAACTCCTCCTGTAGTTCATCTAGGGCTTATTCATTTGTTATTCACCTGAACACATGAGTGTTGGTATATAATAGGCACCAAATACATATGCCCCACATAATAACAACGAGAATGTTAAGAGGTACAGAATGTAAAGTGAAGCATGTGAAGCACGAAGGCACTTAAACAGGCTTCGGATCTGTTACACCAATGCACGAAGCTTACTTAATAAGCGATCGGAACTAGGTGTACAGATTGACTCTACAAAGCCAGATATAATCGCAGTAACAGAAACCTGGCTGACACAGGCTATAGATAGTATAGAACTTGATTTCGAGGGCTTTACGTTAGTAAGGGCTGACAGAACGCATAAGCGCAAAGGAGGGGGAGTAGCTCTATTCATTAGGAATGCTATCCCATTTACCATTATCGATAGTGTATCCCATGAGAGTGGGACGTGTGAATTAGTTAGTCTCCGCTTGAAATGCAAGGGACAAGAGCTGCTGATTGGTTTGGTCTATCGCAGTCCAAGCTGTGAGGCAAATGAGATCCTGTTAAGCAGTCTCAATACTTGGTCCCAAAGTGGTCGATGTCTAATCCTAGGGGACTATAATGCACCTATGGTAGACTGGGGAAATCTGCGAACTGAATCGTCAGAAAATTCCTTCGAGCAGGAACTAGTCGATGCGGTTATCACATGTGCCCTAGTGCAACATGTGAAAGAAGCGACTAGGTACGACTCGGACACTGAACCATCCTTATTAGATCTGATACTCACTCACTATGTGGATGACGTTGCTAACCTTCATTATATGCCACCCCTAGGTAAAAGTGATCACTCAGTTTTAATTTTCGACTTCCATATAACTGTCAGTCACGAGCACGCGTCAGCCCAATCCAGACCTAACGTCTGGAAAGCAAATATACCAGATATCATGCACTCAGTATCTTTATTAGATTGGACAATAGACCCAGAGTCCTCAGTTGAAATGGCCTGGGATGCATTTCGAAATTCATACTTAAAAGTTACCACACCCCACATCCCTTGGACTATACCAAGGGGACCGAGAAACTCCCCACCATGGTTCAGTGGGGAGGTTCGCATCCTTCTCCGTAAGAGAAGAAAAATGTGGGAGAGATTTAGGTTACTGGGGACTGATGAAACTAGATCCCAGCATAGAAAAGTCCGGAATACCTGTGCCTCGACCCTCCGTAAGTCTAGAAAATTGTACGAAGAAAAACTTGTTAAGGAATCCATAGAATGTCCTAAACGCTTGTATTCCTATATACACCAAAGGACAAGGAGAAAAGGAAATATTCCTGCTCTATGGGGAGACAGTACTGCTTCATCATTAGTGGAGGACGACTTTGGTAAGGCTCAAGCGTTCTCGAACTACTTTAGCAACGTGTATACCATAGAAGCGCCCTTCTCGTCAGCGTATACAGATCCCCCCATACATACACTGGATAGCGTGACCATTAAAGAACTCGATGTCTTTGGTCTGCTAAATAAGCTTGACATAGGTAAATCCACGGGGCCCGATGAATTACATCCTAGGCTACTGAAGGAATTATCTAACTTCGTTGCGAACCCTTTAAGTACATGCTTTAACCTATCCGTTACGCAGGGTCGCTTACCAAAAGATTGGAAAAACGTCACAGTAAGCCCTGTCTTCAAAACAGGTACGAAACACAAACCTGAGAATTACCGCCCCGTTAGCCTAACTAGTGTGGTTGTTAAAATATTAGAAAAGATTATTCGGAAGGAGCTGTTTGAGTATCTCGATAAAAACCGGATCCTCTCGGAGAAGCAGCATGGCTTCAGAATAGGTTATTCTTGTCTCACTAACTTATTAGTGGCTTGTGAAAGCTGGTGCGCTCCTAAGGACCAAAAGTTACCTGTAAACATAGCCTTCATTGATTTCAGCAAAGCTTTTGACAAAGTTCCGCACAACCGGCTGTTATATAAGTTAAAAAATGTCGGGATTGGAGGCCATCTATTTATGTGGATAAAAGACTTCTTAGTTGGGTGTCAACAAGGAGTTCGGGTGAACTGAAAGTTATCTAGCTGGGAAACTGTGCTTAGTGGAGTGCCCCAGAGTACAGTTTTGGGGCCAGTGCTATTCCTCTTGTATGTAAATGACCTTCCTCGTCTCCTATCATCATCGGTCTTGCTATATGTCAAGATATGGAGAACGATACGATGTAAGAGTGATAGCTTAGAACTTCAAAATGACCTGAAGAAATTATCTGAACGGTCTCAAACTCGGCAGTTGCCGACAAATACTTCCAAGTGTGTTGTGATGCATATCGGTCATCAAGGCACAGATACATACACGATGAATAACACTGAGCTACCTGTCGTCCAGACATATAATGACTTAGGAGTTATTGTTAGTCAAGACTTAAAGACTACTGCACACTGCCGTGCAATAGCCGCCAAAAGTTTTAGAACGTTATAGTCAATACGTAGGGCTTTTAGTCATGTCGACGCTAAGACGTTTTTGACTTTGTATACAGTGTTCGTTCGTCCTAAACTTGAGTACTGCATACAAGCGGCTAGCCCCTGCTTTAAAAAAGACAGTGAGCTTCTGGAAAAGGTTCAGAGAACGGCAACTAAACTGGTTCCCGCAATAGCGAAGCTTCCGTATGAATCTCGACTGGCCAAGCTGAACCTTGTCCCGTTGTCATATCGCAGAACTAGAGGCGACTTGATTACAGTCTACAAATTGCTTAGTGATAAATTTGCACCTAACATGCCCTCATTTTTCTTGTCTTCCAAAACAGAGAATTTACGAGGACACTCCAAAAAACTTCATAAGCCAAGAACAAATTACTTGTCAGCTGACTATCGACTTTCCCATCGAATCATCAACGAGTGGAATTCACTACCTCAGCACGTGGTTGAGGCTTCATCCGTCGACTCTTTCAAAAGAAAGTTGGATCAACTGAGAGACCACCATTGCCAGGACTAACATAGGCCATCGAGCCTCCTGTCCTTCCCAAACTGAAACTGAAACCGATAAGAAAAACGAGAACGACAATCGACAGAAATTAGTGTATGAGAGTGAAATAATTATAATAGGAAGAGCAGTTCGGTTAACAGAAGTACAAACAGATAGAATTATTTCGTGTGGAAAATTTGTTTTCATTTTTTATTAAGAAAGTTGCAGAAGGATCACCACTGACGTTAAATCTGATCCATATCTGATAACGTCTTGAGCCACTGTGTTGCACTATCTCGAGGACCCCAACCAGGAAGACGTGGGGGACCAACAGAGGTCATCCATGTATAGCTTTCTTTCATAACGATATGTCATACACTTACCATCCCTCTGCTTTTTCCAATTAGTTACAACGTCAGCAAATGGTGCACAATGAAGAATTCTCTGGAACGACACTCGTAGAAAATGCCTAAGCCACCGGAGTCGATGTTTCAAGATAGTGAGACTAACTGAATCAACGTCACTGTGACCGAACCCACAATGCCGAATCTCTGCATTCTTAACAGGGTGTTGCCACTGGATATCAGCAACCCTTCGGAGACAACGATCGAACACAGAGTCGTCTAACATCCTCAACTCGGAGAGACCAGGTTTCACAAAAATGAACCGTAACTACTCTCACGTTGTAGATCCGACTTCTGCGACCTGATTAGCATCATAAAGGTGCCAAAGATGGCCCAGATTGAAATAAGTCTCTCTGGCTTTCACTATACGTGAATTGATCTCATCACTTACGCCACCATCAGCACTTATGCAGCTACCTAGATACACGAACTTCTCAACCACTTCTGTCTGCTCACTATTCAGGGTGAGTGCAGGAATGTTGTCCTGTCAATCTTCTAAAAGTACTTTGCACTTCGAAAGCATGAAGCACATACCACACATACGGAAATTGATTGCCAACTGACTGAGTGCGGATTGCATGCTTTGGGTATCGTCATACATCAAGATAACATCATCCGCATACTCAAGGTCGAGAAGTCTTTCTCCAGGCAACACATCAACACCGCCATTACCTACATCCATCAGAGCTGTTTCCAGAATGTCATCGATGGCAAAGTTGAAGAGGAGTGATGAGATTGGCCACTGCTTGGATGAAGCATTGAAGAGAGGTGGTTGTATAACCTCACTCTAATCGAGGTGCTTGTTTATAGGGATTTGAAGGTGATAATAAACTGAGGTACGCCCTTCTTCAATAGACAAATCCAAAGAATAGTCCTGTCCAACGAATCGAAGACAGCCCTGTTGACACGAAACACTACGATTGTTGGCCAGTGATAAGTAAGACGGTGTTCTAACATTTGGTGGAGGTTGACAATATGATCAATACGTCCTCAACCAGAAAGAAAACCAGCCTGCTCGTCGCGAGCTACCCTTTCTCAGTTTTTGAACAATCTGAGAAATATGACGGAAGCCAAAGGTTTGGTCGCGTTTGAAAAGAGGCGCAAACCCCGACAGTTGTAACAGAAATATGAGAACAACTATCAGTACATTCCAAGACGTTGGAATACTCTCTAATCGCCAGACATTTGTAAACAATGCAGTCAGTTCCATTGCCAGTACGTCATCACCATCTTCAAAATGGGCTCGAGGTAAGCAGTCTAGACATCGATACCGAGGTTAGAAGTAGTACACCTACCAACACAGAAAGACGTGTGGCGGAGGTGTTAAATAACTAACTCAACTATTGTACAATTGAATATTTTCTGCTATATGTTTTATTTCGCTATAGTATAGCAGTACAGCCTCATTAACCCCACTTTATGCGGGAATTCATGATTGTGACTTGCCGAATTTTTAGCAACTTACAACAATCAGTTTCATTTTAGAAGGGACAGGAAGCTAGGTGGCCTGTGTTAGTCCTGGTGATGGTGACCTCTCGCTTGATCAAACTT